GTGGTTAGAACATTCACCTCACAAATGATAGGAACCTGGGTTCGATTCCAGGACAGGGCAAAACCCAAGGCAAGTTTCCTTACTCCACACGTCTCTGTTACCTAGTAGAAAGGAGGAACCCTGGTGATAGTCGATTGGTGGATCACGTTCTGGGGTTAATAACTCCTCTAAGATAAATAAATACAAATAATTTGGTCATTCAATCCACAACTCTTTGTGGTACACTGCTTTGAGCAATTGGCTACTGCGTTTTGCCCACAGTCAATTCACTTGACAGTATACATATTTAGTGAAGCGCTTTGAGACGCTTTGACCAGGTGAAAAGGTGTTATATATATGCAAGGATTATTTAAAGATCATTATCTTGATTAGCTACGGGAGGCAGGGTACCTCCTCCTCTACCTTATTCCTCATCCGTGCCCCCATCCTGAGTGTTCTGATTTTCTAACTTTTTATTTTTTGTCATTCAGGGAGTGAGCAAAGTTTCTTTTGTTTGATTTTTTCTTCTTGGATGAATCTTTAGGTGAGTGGCAAACTTCGCACTCTCTCCATTCCAGAAAATTTAACTTCATAATGAAGTTTAGGACAATCCAAGATTATTATAAATTATAACAAAGGTCGCTTTGTTATCATTTATAATAACCTTGGATTTTATATAGTGTCTTATCATGTCATTGAGGCATTTAAAAAGTGCTTCACCCCCCAAAAAAAACACAATTTATCTGACAGATAGTTCTAAACACAATTTTTAAAACTTTTAAAAATAAAATATAGCAAGTTACGGAAGTCTTTGTGAATCATAGAACAAAAAGGAGAGTGTAATATAAATGAAAATAGATCCATAAATGAAAAGGAGTAATGAATACTCTACAAGCGGTGGTTCAAATCTGGTTCCAATGAGTCTCTCCAAGATAAACAACTGTGAACAACTGTACACAAATATGACACTTTGTGAAGAAGAAAAAACAATTTTAAGGAATGAAACTGTGGATGAAAAACATAATTGGACACATAATAATAAATAAATAATAATAATCCTTGCATTTGATATAGTGCTTTTCACGTCGGGAGGACGTCCCAAAGCGCTTCACAGAACACACTGTAAAGTGAATTGACTGTATATTTGTGGGCGAACGCGGCAGCCAATTGCGCACAGAAATGTCCCACAAACAGTCGTGGATTGAAAGTGACCAATTTATTATTGTTTTTGGTTTTTGGAGGGATTATTATTAGGTGTGTGGAGTAAGGAAACTTGCCCAAGGTTTCGCTCTGCCGGGAATTGAACTCAGGTCTCTCACTTGCAAAGCGAGTGCTCTAACCACTGAGCTACAGGACTCCACATGTGGCATAACCATAAGGTTTCAGGGGATGAGTGGGGCTGGTGGGGGGGTTGGAGCCAGACATGTTAGAATTTCTGTGTTTTAAGTTTTGATCTGCATATCATTTTTTTTAACTGCCATACATCCCAAGATGGTTGCAGCCAGCCATTTAAGTTTGGTGATGTCGTATGTTTCCACAGCTGCAGTGTGCTTCTTCTGGCAATTAAAAATGCTATTTGTGCCGGTTTTCTCATAGTTTTGGGAGCGTGTAAATCAAAGATCAGAGCTAGAAGAAAATGGAAAACTAATCTTATTAAATGCAAGAATTCTTATTATGAGCAAGATAGTTGCTTACTACCAATATCCCCAGTAGGGATACTACAAATATCACCTGCTGATTTGAGCAAATGACAACAATCGTGCTTCAATCCCATTTTAGTCATAACTAAGTACTGTTATAACATTATTCATAAAATATTCTATGATACACATAACAATATTTAGCTGTCTTGTAAATCCTCAGGCATAATGTCCTCTATGCCCTGTGTCTATAACTGGCTGGTTTGCCCGGAGTACACAAAGCATTGTGTGCTACACTGCCCAATTCAACAGTACTTATTGAAAGAGAATCTCCAATTCATGCAGTCCAAAGTCCCACATTTGAAAATAGTCCATTATGACTTGACAAGCGATGCCTCAAATCTGGTTCCAATGAGTCTCTCCTTGTTGAAAGCAAAGAAGGTGATGACAAATCTGAGGAGGGGATTTATACATAATTTAGAAGTCACATGGTTCACTTTATTAAGTCAATGGTCAGAAGATTTCAAGCCGTTAAATAAAACAATTCAGCATGGGAACAGGCCATCGACCCAACTAGTCTGTGCCAATGTTATACACAACCTGAGCCTCCACCCCTCCTAGACTCCTCTTCCATACCCTTCAATTCCAGTCTCAAAAACAACAATAAAAAAAATTACATTTGTATAGCACCTTTTACTTAAGGCGTTGGACAATCAGTGTTTCGGACCTAAGCTGGGGATTGGGATCGAGGAGGGCAGAGTGCAGGGGGTGAGGGAGGGTGATAGTTGAAGAGGAGGGTCTTGAGACAGGTCTTGAAGGGAGGGGGCAAGGTGGTGGGACTATGGGATGGAGTTCCAGAGGGTGGGGGTAGAGTTGTTGAAGGCCCGCCCGCCAATAATGGGACAGTGTACTTCATTCCCCTTTTAGAGGACTGTATTTGTTTGATCTCCCTTTGATGGTAGGTATGTGGTATTGCATCCCATATTGTTTATTTTATTGCCTTTAATCAATATTGGTTTCCATAAGAAATAGAATGAATAGAATGATAAAATGACATTTATTCTAATAATTAAGCCTAGTCTCTCCAGAGTCCAGACAAAACCCATTCCACCATAGATTTCACTCAATCCACTCCAACCACTTGGAGAAACAATTTCTCAAAAAAAACTGCCAGATAGTGAGCCACACGCGCGGAAGGACAGGAGAGGGCCGTTCCCGCTGCCAAATAGTAAGCCGCGTGGCTGATTGAGAGAGGGGCATAGAGAGAACCTCCCTCGGCTCTCACCCGCAGCTAAGGTGCCCAGTCAGCAGTGTCAAGAGCTTTGAGACGCCCTTCCTGAGTGAAAAAGGCGCTGTGTAAATGTTATATTTCGGGCAGGGAAACATGATATTTACGGACGTTTCTCAAACAGGGCATCCGGCCCTCAATAGCAAAACGGTTGGACCACCTTGCTCTTAAGTGATGGTGACGGGTTTCTGAATGTGTCAGGACACCCAGTTGACCAGAATGAAATCTGTGTGTCTCTTTAGGTCTGTTTGTGTGTGTCTCTCCCTCTTTGCCTCTTCCTCTCTACGTCTCTCTCTCTACGTCTCTGTCTCTCTTTTGCTGTGTCTCTACGTATGTGTCTATATCTCTCTGTGTCTCTGTATATGTGTCTATACCTCTGTTTCTCTATGTAGGTATCTGTATCTCCGTGTGTGTCTCGATGTATGCGTCTGTATCTCTTTGTTTCTGTGTCCCTATGTATGTGTCTGTAACTATCTGTGTCTCTATGTATGTGTCTGGATCTCTGTCTTCAGAGCCTTCAGCTCCCCTCTCGACTCTCTTCCCCCTCCTCGCTCCCTCCCTTCCCTCCCCTCACCCTGACCATTTCCCCCCTCCTCGCTCCCTCCCTTCCCTCCCCTCACCCTGACCATTTCCCCCTCCTCGCTCCCTCCCTTCCCTCCCCCTGACCATTTCCCCCCTCCTCTCTCCCTCCCTTCCCTCCCCTCACGCTGACCATTTCCCCCCTGCTCGGGTCATGACCCAACTGTGCAGCGCCTTGGGACGTCCTCCTGACGTGAAAGGCGCTTTATAAATGGAATCTTGTTGTTGTTGTCTCTATCTCTGCGTGTCTGTATCTGTCTCTGTGTGTGTCTGTCTCTCTGTGTGTGTCTGTATCTGTCGCTGTGTGTGTCTGTATCTGTGTGTGTGTATCTATCTCTGCGTCTGTATGTGTGTATCTATATGTGTGTGTGTGTCTATATCTGTGTGTATCTATCTCTGTGTGTATGTATCTATCTCTGTGTATGTCTCTCTGTGTGTATCTATCTCTGTGTGTATCTCTGTGTGTGTGTATCTATCTGTGTGTGTGTATCTATCTGTGAGTGTGTCTCTGTGTGTGTGTATCTATCTGTGTGTGTCTCTGTGTGTGTGGGTGTATGTGTGTATCTATCTCTGTATCTATCTATCTGTGTGTGTGTATCTATCTCTGTATCTGTGTGTGTGTGTCCCTCTGTCTCAGGGTTTGACTGGAAGAGGCTGCTCTCGCGAGGGTTGGCGTGCGGGGCTGCGACAGAGCCGCTTTCCAATTGGCTGACCCCGGGCTGACGTCAGCGCTCGGCGAAAGGTCAGCTGGTGACCGCTTTTCCTCTTTTAATTCATTGCAAACACTAAACACGAGAAGCGGGGGCCCGGCGGCCGTGAGGAGGAGCGGAGGGGCGTGAGGCGAGGCGCGCGGCGAGGCGCGCGCGTGTGTGTGTGAGTGAGTGAGTGAGTGTCCTCGCCGTGTGCCTCCCTCCCTTCTTCGCATCCCCTGACGTCAGCGAAAGCGACCGGGGCGCCGTGTCGTCATCAAACGTCGCCCGAGGTCGCTCAACTTCACCGCACAATCCGGAGGCAGAGCCCGAGTTTCAGGTTTTAATTCAGAATAAAGAAAGGAATCGCCCACTATCCTCCTCCCCCCCTCCCTCCCCCCCACCACCACCACCGACCCCACTCCCCGCACTCCCCGCACTCCCCGCCCGCCCGCCCGCCCCGCACTCCCCGCACTCCCCGCCCGCGCCGCATCTCCACCTCCACCCACGGCTGCGTTTGAATCTACCGGTCATGAAGTCCCGTCCCCCGCCTTGTGCTTGCGCGGCGTTTTAGCTCTCGGACTTGGTCGATCTGCCCGATTCCTTCCATTCATTCCCCTTTCCCAAATGTTTTGACGATGCGGGACGTTTCCGAGGCCTAATTTGTCAAGTGCTGAGAAAGAAGGCTCCACAGTTGCCTCTCCCTCCCCTCCCTCCACACCACCGATTGCTGCCAACACCGTCACCCCCTCTGGGGGCTCTCGGGCTCTTGTCGGGAACTTCCTTTGTGTTGATGGTCCTGGAGGTTTCTGGATTTGCCACTCGTTTACATCATATGTTGCATGAGGTCACTCAACTCCACTGTTATGCCACGGGTTAGCCCCAACGGTGAGTACACTTTGCGATAAGTTTCCAGCAGCAGAATTCAATGAGTAAATGCTGCCTTCGAATTTTGCAGTCGCACTTTTATAACTATAATAAATGACTCGATTGGGTCAATGTGCATCAGAGTGCACTTGTGGTTCAGACTTTGTAACTTTAGGTGCTCCTTATGTTCGCAAACTCATTTCGCTCGAGGTATTTTGCATGTGAAATGGATCTGCCTACTTACTCCCCCCCCCCCCCCAATGGAGTTATTGTTTAGGACTTCAGTGAAATTCCAACGCTATTACTGCTATGAGTTGAATTACTGTCACACACACCATGAGGAATAATTTGGGGAATGAGAGATTAGAGATGGGAAAAATCAGTTTTAGTTGTGTGAGGATTGTTAATTGTGGGTTTACAGTCTTGGAACTCAAGTTGCAAAAATTGTAACTGTGTGCAAATTCACATGTAATTAGCCAACCTGAATCGGCCCAACTTTTACATGAATCATTTGGAGACTGCATTGATTTGGGGGTCAGGCATATGACCTGAATATAACAATGTAAATTCTAAATGGATATTCCTGAATAGGCCCACAGCTTGTTTTTTCGATGGTTAGGAAGGGGGATGAAAATCAAAAGTCTGATCCGGTGACAGGAATACCTGTTGTTCCCTTTTTTTTCACAAAAACTTGAGATGGCACGGTGGGAATTTGTCTTTTCCTTAGATTCAAATCCTTTTAGACATAATAACTATCATGTGAAATGAGCTTGGTTAGTCACAACCCAATATCTAATGGATAAGATTAAGCAGAAGCAGAAACTTTTCTTAATTTATTTAAGAAAATGGCAATCTGACAGACTCCAAGAATGGTTACCATGGGAAATGGAAAGTTCAAATATTTGTATTGAGGGAGAGTATTGGGATAGAGAATAGAAAGCTTTCACTACATCTGCTCATGTTATGGTTTACCTGGGAGTCTTAGTATTAACAATAGATACTTTTAGGTGAGTGGAAAATGTTCTTGGCACTGAAATTCCGCATCTTGATTACATCACAAAATTTCACACATCCACAATTGCTCTAGCTGCATAATACAATTCTTTGCATTTTTGTTCAGCCAATATACAACACATTTTGTGAGTTGCATTGAAACATTTCTTTCATATCTGGTATGAGGAGAGATGGTAGTGAGAGGAGAGTATCATGGATCAGATTTTTTTGTTGTTGAGATATTCGTCTCCAACAAGAATCAGGCAACATGATTACTGTGGAGGAAGGAAAGAGTGGGATTGTGGAGTGCATCCAAATTCCTTGTTGGCCTATCATAAATTACTCCAGCGTAGCTGTACCTGTTGCAACCGAAGGATCCAATATGGAATGTAGATTTCAGTGATACCACTCACAAACCATTTAACATGCCATAAACACTGTGTACACTTTGTGATGAGCCTATTTAGGTCACAGGAGATCCCCTCCAAAAAACAATTGGTGGACAGACACATGTAGTGTGAGCTGCGTGTGGATCTCTCTCTCGTCTCCTAGTACTTAGTCAGTCTGAGCAGGCCTCAGACTTCACTTTAACCTGCTATGCTCCCTCCCTCCTGACACATCACTAAGTCTCCCACCTCCTCACTATTACCCTCGAGAGATTATGGGACTCAGCATATTTTTTGGGGGGGTGGGAAGGAGCGGAGGAGATTTAATTTTAAAAATGTAGCATTGAATTTTTTTCACCACTCTCTTCACTCCTTCCCTCGCTCTGCCCCTCTCCCGATGTATCTCTCTAGAAGGGTGTGTGTTTTCCTCTGTTGCTTGATAGATTTTTGGTAGGTCAGGGTTATAAAGGATATGGGGAGAAAGCAGGAAATTGGAATTGAAAGGATTAGTTGAGGTACAGATCAGCCAGGATCTAATTAAATGGCGGAACAGACTCGAAGGGCTGAATGGCCTCCTCCTGTTCTTATGTTCCAACTCTACTTTGTTGCAGAATACCATGCGTCGGGTACAGCTAGTACCTCTTTTTTAAAAAAATAGCTCATCAACGGTAATTTGGCCATGACAATCCCCCATGCAAGACCTTTCCGATGAAGTATAAATGGTGTTTCTACGTCAATTGGTTATTGCGTTCTTGGCGGACAGACACACACACATAAACACACACACAAACAAACAGGCACACAGATTTTTTTTATTAGTATAGATATACGTATCTCTCTAGAAGGGTGTATGAACTCTGTTGCCATTTTATTGCAGAATACCATGCATACTTTTTGAGGGCTGTAATTAAAGCATTATTAAATATTTTTTATTATCAATGATAGAAGATCCCTGAAAAAAATATGCCCATCACACTTCCCCTTGCAAGACTTTTCCGATAAGATATAATTCATGTCTCTATAACCCCCCAAAAAATTGGTTATTGTGTTCTTAGCTGACAGACACACAACTCACATTTATTAGTATAGCTGGTGGATGAGGGAATGGCCCAAATCCTGTTTATCACCAGTTTTAACTGCAGTTTTTACATATTAATTTCATCATCCTCAACAAATATATCCCATTATGCCATTATGTTGCAGAGATGCAGCTATTTTGCAATGAACCCACTGAAATGAGATAGATATTCCTTTCCCTGTTTAATTTATTGGAAAGTGATCATATTCCCTTGAAATTAATCGACACCAACCATACATGCTTACAATTATGAAATTGTTAGAAACATTGCTTTTGCAGTGGTTATGGAAAGAAGTAAGTTGTTACAATTTGAGACCTAAACAAAGTTGGTTTTATTTGTCTTTATTTAATGAGGCAAAACCGACATTAACTGTACCAGGATCACAAAACATCTTCCTCACACTGTTGCCCTTTGAGGTTGGATTGAGCAAAAAGCCACTATCATCTGCCTTTTTTCCCCGAAATATCTGGAAATCACTAATCTACTCACTTTTAATAAAAAAATCTTAACACAACATGATACAACATCATTCATGTCTGAAGTACTTCTCAAAGCACTTCAGGAATTTACTATAAAGTGTAATGACCGAGTACTTGTGGGCAAACTGGTTCTGAGCGGATTTCAAAAATATAGGATAAATAGTTTTTTTTATTGATATTTATTTTGTTAATTCAAGGACAATTTGAATTTAACATTTTTTTGAGAAAACCTCAAATTCTTGCATTGATTATTGTAATGCTGTACACTGTCCAGCGCCTTGGGACGTCCTCCTGACGTGAAAGGCGCTACACAAATGTAATCTTGTTGTTGCTGTAGTTGGTATTTGGGAATCAAAGACCGATACAATGAGCCATATGCCACGTGCAGTATCTTTTTTTTCAAGATCAAGCATTGATTTGTGCAGGAGCACTTTCATTGTACTCAGCCATTCATACACTGAACCTTGCGTTCAATAACTTTCACATGCTTTTACTTGTGTGCATTTCCTTGGAGGAAGAGAGAAAGACAAAGAGTGACATTAACAAAATATTCTTTGTTCCTCCTGGATGCGTCTTTATTCTCTCATCAATAATCATTACAAACAAACAGTGCAGGTTATATTTCTGGAGGTTTTATATTGACGAGCATTTCTGTGCTGCCTTTCATAAAACAAAAAAAATTGAAGCATTTGATTAGAAGTGATAAAATTGATTAGAGTTTTGTTTGGTTAGCAACCCATCAACATGTTTAAGTGACTAACCTATTGAGAATTCCATGTATGAATGGTTTCAGTTTGTCTGGTATGGAGTACTCACTTTCTCCCCAAAAGAAGCGCCTTGACTACCTAATCCTGGAGAGTTGCGGCATAAGGTTTGAGAACCTCATTAACTAGTTTAACTAGCTAAAATCATGCAGTTTATAATTATAACATGGCAAACTTCCTGCTACTTTTTCAGCTTGGATTTGTTACATGGTTAACCAGTTACATGGTTAACTGGCACCAAGTGGGAACACTCCCTGACGCCAGTGACAGGTTTGCCCTTCCAAGTCCTGCTAAAAAGCCAAGCTAGCTAGTCGGTCATACTTGGAGTACTGCAGGCCTGATTAGCTGAGGTTGAATATGTAGCCTGCCACAGCAGAATGTGTTGATCTGGTCATCCATTGCCAGGCCTGAAACTTTGGAGCCGATTTAGCTCCAAAGCTTATCTCCACCTCCCACCTTCTTGGAGGATTAGAAATAAATGAATAATGTATCAAGAAGTGTACCAGCTCGTATACTCAAACAACTTTCCATAAGCAACAGTGAGATGAGTAGCCAATTAATTTGTTGAGAAGAGGTTAAAGCAGGGCTAGCCCGGAGAAAAACTCAAATGTTTCTTTAAAAGTAAGAAGGAGGGAATGTAACAATTCATTTGTACTTGATTCACAAGAACAAACTTAAATTAATAACCATCCAAAAAGATGGTGAATCTAGAAATATGGATAATTATATATTTAATATAGAATGTTATGTAGGCAAACATGGCAGCCAATCCCACAAAACAGGAATGAATCAAACTTTGTTTGAATTTTTGTGGGGTGAATTTGGAATTTTAAAATCAATGGGGACAATTGAAAATTGAGGAAGGAAGAAAGTGAAGGGAATAAAGGAAAATGTAGAACATGGAAGATTTTGCAGGAATTTTGATAATGGTGTAATTCATCTTGTCTTTGTAAGATGAAGGGAATTGTTTTGCTGTGTTCTTTTACATGTATTCTTCTCGGGCAGCACAGAGTGGGAGAGAATAATGGCATTCTTCCAAGAAGCCGAGATGCACTAGGAGCATGGTATTTGACAATGTTCACAACCTGCATGCACCAAATAATCCACTATGAATAGCACTGTAGCTTGGTGTTTGATAACTACCTTCTACTTATGTTACATTTGATGGACATCTGCCAACATATATGATCGCAGTCACCTATCCTCTCAGTGCATTAGTGTTTGGAATATAGATTTCCAACTGTTGAACACTGTGTTTTTGGCAAATAGTTTTTTAAGTGGAAAGCAAAAATATTAAATTTCATTAAAACATTAAATTCTATTTTAAATGTGCATTCCTACAGTTTTCCAACCTTTCACTGGGTATATACAGCAATAAATGCTGGTGTGCTTAAAATGGAAAATGTTCCTTTGAATGAGCCTCACTTTGTGCTGAAATGAAAAGGAAGCAGAGTCTTGTGGTGGTATTCCCGGAAAGTACATCCTGTGGAATTGCTCCCTTTTCTGAAGAAAGGTATGTTTGTAAACTTTAAATTGCAATCTCTTTTGTGGTTGGTTATTAATCACTGTAAACAAGAGGGAATAAATATTTGTTGTAGGAAGGGATGACTGTGTCATATAATTACCTTGTTTAGTGATTTGCACAAAACTGAATGTATCCTAACAGCATATTTTCATTTTTGCAGGGACTCGCCATGAGGTATTGATACCTTGTTTTAAAACTCTGAGACATAGGACCTAAATGGCGCAGCATGACTTTGCTCCAGCCTGGCTTAATTTTCCAACTCCACCTTCATCAACCAAGGTATTGTAAAACATTTGTCATTTTTACACTTCTGTTTGAAGGTTGAATATGTTTTTTATTTATTTTGTTGTACGTAATATTTTTGTGCAGTAAGTGGTACAAAAGAGTTGACGTAAGCTTAGGAAAATGTTCAGAACTGTTTTTGCGACATTTTACCATAGTTTTAGTGCACATTAGTGGAGAATTTTGTAATGTGGGATTACAGAGTCCTGTAGGTTATAGCTTTGAGCACTCGCCTTGCAAGAGAGAGAACCCAGGTTCGATTCCTGGGCAGGGCAAAAAGTTTTCTTACTCCACGTGTCTCTGTTTACCTAGCAGTAAGTAGGAACCCGGTTGTTAGTCGATTGGCGGATCACTTTTCCAGGGGTAATAACCCCCCCCAAAATAAATAAATAATTTGGTATTTTAATCGACGATGGTTTGTAGGTCACTGCTGTACGCAATTGGCTGCTGCATTTCGCCCACAGAGTATACGGTCAATTCACTTTACAGTATATTCTGTGAAGCGCTTTGATAAGGCACTATATCAAATGTAAGAATTATTATATAATATTATAGAAGAATATTAAAATGGCTAATGAATTTTTAGCAGTTCTGAATTATTTTCTGACTGACTGATGAAGTGCCCATTAAAAGCAGCAATGAGGTACCTCATTTTGGCATCACAAAGCGGTAGCTCCCTACACATCTCTACTTCTCCACTCGGCTCACAGCCCACCGACCCAATTCCCTTGTTCGGCCAGTTCGGACCTTCTGTACCTCCCTCAACCCTCTCTGATCCACCATCACTGGCTGTGCCTTCAGCCACAAGGCCTGAACTCTGAAACTCTACCTCAAGGTCTCTGTCTTGCCCCTCTTTCCCTGTCTTCAGATCACACCTGAAGATTTTCTTTGTTGACTGTGCCTATGGTACTGTTTGTCCCAGGCTCGGTGTCAAACTATACCAATGTTCAGCACTTCAAGATGCTACTATGTGTGAAAGGTTCTATATAAGTGGAAATTATTGTTGCAATGGATCCAGCAAATTCGGATCTGGTGTGTGTTTCTCTCCCCTTTACCCTCACCATCAGCAGCTAAGTTTTCAGTGATTATACCCTTGCCCTCTGAAACTCTCTTCCTAATTCCTGATGCCTTAAATAGAGGTGCTATATGATTGCAAGTTGTTATAAGTATGTAGATCTTCATGCATGTAGTCATCCCACACATGATAAATCTCCATCTTGAAAACTTGGTTGAATTTGATGCCGGTAGCTGTAATTTCCAGCTCTGCTGCCTCTGAGTCAGAAGGTTGTGGGTTCAAGCCCCATTTTAGGATTTGGAACCCATATAATCTATGCTGACACTCCATTGTAATGCTGTGGTGTGTTGCATTGTCAGAGGTGCCATCCCTCAGATGAAACTTAAACCAAGAACCTTGTCTGTGCCTGTTCAAGTGGAGGTTGAAAGATCCTGTGGCATTATTCCAAAAGAGAAAGGAGTTTCACTGAGTGCCCTGGCCAATAATCCCCCAAATAAAATTGGTCTTTCATTCCATGGGTATTATACATTATTAAGCATACATACCGAGTTTATTAATTTGTTGCTATTAAGCATATTATAAGTAGTAACCTTTTACATCTTGGACCCTAGTTCAGTGGAAGCTTTGGTGAAATTGTAGTGTAGTAGGAACCCAAACCAATAACTCATTTTGCCTCATAAATGTATAATGCCAGGCAATACTATCTTTGAAACCGAACCATTCTGTTCCTTTGACCATTAGCTTTGTTTTCCTTCCAGCCCTGGTGCAGATTTACCAGTGTCCTGCTGTTCTTGTACTTGTGGTCTAAGGTTTTCTACCTTAGCATTTTATTATGTATTTTTTGACTGCTTTCCTGGAACATCTTTCAGGTTTCACCTTTCCCTCACTGACTTCATCCATCAAACCACTTTCCTTTTTTGGTTTCCAAGTTTCTATACATAAGCTATCATTATTGTGGCCTTGTTCTGGTGTGTAACTTTGAATTTTGTTTGTCAGATATCATAGCCATTATATGAAAGCATGCAAATGTTATGAGGAAACCACTTTCAATACATGCTTGTGAATCATAACGAAGTATAGGGTTTACACACAAAAATATGAGACACGTTTTCAATCCCCTTCACTCATAAAAGGAAATAAAGCTGTGGAATTTTCTCTTTCCAAATCTTCAAACTGAACTCATCTGGAAACTTAAGCCTCACTGCATTTTTAAAATGTCAAATGCCCTGCAGCTACTACTGCAATGGTTTCAAAATTGAATAGATTGCATGTTACCAAATAACTTAATATTTTCTTATGAATAAATAAGTGACTCTTCATGTGCATTTCATTCTCTGTCATTACTATCTCTTTTTGTCTTACTAATTTTCCCTCAGTGTCAGTCGCCTTCCTTTCTTCTCCCAACCAAATGTTTTGTTTCCTTTTTCACCAACTGGGGGACGGGCTGCCTATGATACCAGTTTGTTGCCATGTTTCTTGTATGAGATTTATCAGTATCCTAGCAGGCAATTTGACTTTGGGGAGAATCACAGCCAAACTCAATCTGGTTTCTCCTATTTCCCTTGTCTCTCTAAGTAGAGCCCCCCCCTCCCACCCTTCACCCTGTCTACACATGCACACCTCTGCAGGGCAGTGAACAGCTGTGTTGCAGAATGGTTGGTTTATTTTCCCTTCCCTAACTCTGGGCTCGGAGACTATTGGTCATGCACCTATTCTGTTGCAGCTTCACTTTTGCATTGTACTATTCAGTCCTAATTTATATTGGCAAAACACAGCAATGTGCTGCAAAAAGGAAGTATAATAATCTAGCCATGAAACCTTTGTTTGGGCTTCCTCCCACAATGACCTATCCTCCTTGGTCACTCTTCTCCACAGCTCCCTCTCTACCACTCTTGATTCCCTTGCTCCTCTCACTTCCCGAACCATCTCCTACTCACGAAAGTCACTATGGTACACCAGCTACCTCCGCTCCCTTAAAGTACAGGTGCGAGCTGCTGACCTTCAAAAATCACCTCAAAAAATCACCTCTGCTAAATCGTTATTCTACTCCCAAGACCAAGGACAACCCCAGGCTCCTCTTCCCCAGGCTCCATTATAACCCGCATGAATCCGATCACCTGTTCCCTCAACCCCATCCCTACCCCTCTCCTTACCTCCCAGCTCCACCTCCTTGCCCCTCTACTCACAGACATCATAAACCTCTCCCTGTCCACTGGTACCGTTCCCACCCCTTTAAAAGCGTCTGTCATCATTCCTTAAAAAACCCTCCCTGAACCCAAACTGCTCTCGAACTACCGCCCCATCTCCAACCTCTCTTTCAAGGTCCAGGAATGAGTTGTTGCTTCCCAGCTTTGCTCCTTCCTCTCCCGCCACTCCCTTCACAAACCCCTCCAATCGGGTTTCCGTGCTGCCCACAGCACAGAAACAGCCCTGGTCAAAGTGACAAATGACATTCTGTCCATCTGCGACCAGGGCTCCATCTGCCTCCTCGTCCTCCTTGACCTCTCTGCTGCCTTCGACACCGTAGACCACTCTATCCTCATCCATCACCTCTCCTCTCACCTCAACCTTCATGGTTCTGTTCTTGAATGGTTCAGATCGTACCTCTCACACTTCCTCCACACCGTCTCATGCGGCGTTCCTCAGGGCTCTGTCCTTGATACCCTCCTTTTCACTATCTATGCTCCCTCTTGATGACATCATCTGCAGACATGGGGTCAACTTCCACATGTACGCGGATGACACCCAACTCTACCTCTCTGCCTCCACCCTTGACTCCAGGACCACTGCTGTGCTGACAGAATGTCTGTCAGACATCAAGTCCTGGATGAAAGCTAACTTTCTTCAGTTGAAAGTCAACAAGACCGAGGCTCTCCTGATTGGCTCCCGTCAGCGCCTTCACACCTCAGGCGCTGACAGCATCACCATCCATGGTTGCACACCCCACCTTGCTAAGCCAGTCCGGAACCTTGGGTTCTTCTTTGACCCTCAACTATCCTTTCTACCCCACATCTGCGCCATGACCTGCTCTGCCTTCCCCCACCCCCTCAACATCGCCCGGCTCTGGCATTGTCTCACTCCGCAGGCCGCAAAACCCTCATACATGCTTTCATAACATCGAAGCTTGACTATGCAAACTCCTTGCTTGTCGGCCTCCCAACTCCTCTCTCCATAGGCTGCAGATCATCCAGAACTCTGCAGCCTGTGTCCTCTTCCGCACCAGACTCTGTGACCCTATCACCCCCATCCTCGCCAGACTCCACTGACTTCCCATCACACAGAGGATACAGTTCAAGATCCTTCTCCTCACCTTCAAAGACCCCATGGTCTTGCTCCCCACTATCTCTCCGACCCAATAAACCCCTACCGTCCTGCCTGCTCCCTCCGCTCAGCGGGCTCCAGTCTGCTTGATGTCCCCTGCCTCACCCGCACCCCCATTGGCGGGCGGGCCTTCTGCCACTCTGCCCCCACCCTCTGGAACTCCATTCCGCCGTCCCTCACGCCTCGCTCCTCCTTCAAGACCCATCTCAAGACCCTCCTGTTTGACTGTGTTTTCGATCACCCTCTCCAAACCCGACCCCCCCCCGCCCCCCCAGCTCGGGTCCGAAACACTAACTGTCAAACGCCTTGGGACATCCTCCTGACATGAAGGGCACTATACAAATGTAATTTTGTTGTTGTTTAATTTATGGAGAAAAAATGGGGTGGCCCTGTAGATTGTGATTGGAGAGTTGAGAGAATCTAGCCTTGCATCATTGTTTAATTTTGTAGTAACTCATTATTGCTCTTCGCCTTCACTGAGCTATGCACTGAGTTTATTTAAATTGAAGAGGTGGAGGGATTACTTGATATTTCTGCTGTGAGTTTAAGGCAGCAATTTAAATCCATGCAGCTTTGTCAGTTCGTTAACCACTTGTACTTCAGTCTCTTAGTTTAAAAAAATACTTGAATACTGGTTTATTACTTGTTAATTGTCATCTATTATGATTAATTGTAGCGTTCTTGAAATTAAACATGCTTTTGTTTAATGATCTCAAACGATTTAAGATGATATTTGTATCAAAAATTCAGCAAAGAATGGGCTACATTTGATTGAATTTTATTTGTTGGTATTTATCTCTTTGTTTTAAACTTGCAGCAGTCCGTAAACGTTGAAAAGAATCCTGAAACCTTTGTCCGACTAGAGAATCGTTATGATGTGAATCGCAGACGGCACAACTCCTCCGATAACTTTGATTCTGCTGGTGGACGTTCTGGTGGAGGTGTGTTAATTCAACTAGTATATGTGGTGAGAAATTTAAAAGCATGTTTAGAGGTAGCATGTGAAAAAGTGTGAACTGCTGTAGTGTTAAGCTTTGCTAAATACAGTGGAACCCCGTTATAGAGTGCTTCATTAAAAGGCAGGTTCACTTACTACCCATTTGGGATTTGGAGCTTGGTGATAACTCCCCTGAAATATCCAAAGTGCACAGGCCCACTCCATTGCTACCTCGTCACATGAGTGCAGAAAGATGAAACGCCGGCTGGGTGGGAAACCACCGTGTTCAAGTTCTCGTTTATGAGGTTGCCGCTGATGTCCTGGGCATACGCAGTGAGCAAGAAGTGACTGTAGCAACCCAATGCCCTGGAAACCGGTGATTTGGGCTTTCCCGTGCCAGTTGGCATTTGATCTTTGTGTGTGCGCAGGCAGTGAATGTAGAACCTCTGTTCAGCGAACACGCCCTGTTATAGTGCTGGTTGGGATTTTATGGATCTCAACTATTGCATTATAACTGGGCTCCACTGTATTGCTCTCATTTTTTAAATCTTGGTGCATATTATGAGGTAACTAATTTTTATAGTCACACGCTCATTCTAGAAGCCAATTACTAACAAACCTCATTAAAAAGTGAAACAACTTTTTAATATAGTTAAGGGTATTTAGATCTACAGCAAATGGGCAAAAAGCAAATGAGTATATTTACATCCTGCGTTACTCTGTTCAGCTGATCAGCAGGTATTGCTGATCAGATATTTAATTTTACAACTCTGTTTCTTAAGTAAAATTTATTTGCTGTTTTTGCTTTTTTTGTTTAAAATTATTAAGTATGGTTACCATAGTTATGTAAACCATGTATCACTTCCTTAGACTTTGATGCTGTGGATCTGTGTACATAACAATTCCTGCTCTGTGTGACATTTCACTTTAGTCAAAATATTTAGAGATTTTTTTAAACAAACCCTGTAAAGAACCGTGCAATTAAAAGAATATTTAATGTAGAATGAATATCTCCAAGTGCTTACGTACATGATAGGGAGAATTAAGGATTTTGATCACAAGGTTTTGAAGTTAGAAACGAGGAAACCAAGCAAAGGGGGAGTGAGCAGGGATGCAGTGACTAAAGACTGGGCCACCAATGGTGGGATGAGGGGACTGAGCCATAGACCAAAATCAAAGCAGTAGAAAATATGGCTGGAGAATAAGGTGTGTAGGAGATTGGGTAGGTGAGAATGATTGAGAATGGGAAGAGATTTGATGTCAGGTTCTTAAAAGAAATTTAATGTTTAGCTTATAAAATGTTAAGATGTTTGACAGACAAATCAATTACCAATTTTTTTTAATAGGACTGTTTTTATATTATTAAGTACTTTAGTACCAGAGAATATTAACTTCCATCAATCTGCATTAATTCTGTTTGTTTTCTGTTTATTGCCAGAACAATTTATACTTGTATAGTTCCTTTCACATAGGAAAACATTTCAAAGCACTTTACGAGGGCTTTAGTATGAATATGTCCATAGCACAAAATATTTTGAGGCCCATTAAAAGTCATATTTATCCATTGGTCAAACAAAATGAATGTACTGGTTGCTTGCGTTTAAGCATTCTTTAGTTATCAAAGTTTTCAAAGATAGTTTTAATGATTAAATGCACTGAGATGTCATCTCCATATATATTTCATGGCAAATCTGTTGTGGCATATCGTACAAGTGGATTTTAACAGCGACCTGACGCATAAGCTCTGTAGCAGCTTCTTGTGGCATGGAGAGAGAAACATCATTTTCTGAGAAGGTGTTTGCATCCCTCCCCGAGCCTTCCCACCTCACCTCCCCTACATTCCTGTTGCTTTATCACTTTCACTGTAGTATATCCAAACTATGGGAAAAAACTGTTTTATTGCAGGGCACTTTGGTAGAAAAGAGAAGAATGGTTGGCGATCGCATGGACGCAGCACAGAAACTGTCAATCCACGCAGTGGCTACCATGGAGGGAATCCTCGACCCCGAAGTGGCACATTTAATGGACGAAAAGCCCCAGTGGTACATGAGAATAACATAACTGAGGAAGAGAATGGAAAAAAGGACGAAAAGGAGGAGCCTAAGCAGTTTGAAGCAGAGGATTTTGTAGGTTAACATTTAAATCTGAGATTTGAGCCTTTTTAAAGTTCTAATGGTATTTCTTTACTTGCTGTTCAACTTCCAAATAAAATTGACTGAGTTACCATCTAATAAAGCGGAAAAACATTTAGGGGAATTGTCCTTTTAAGGCTTTATGCCATAGTTGGCTTTGTGGGGCAGATAACAACAACTAGCATTTATATAGCGCCCCTAACGCAGGGTAGCGTCCCAAATATTCCTCTTCCTCCAATTATATCACCCTGAGCCTATTTTCGATTTGCCTGCTTTACCAGTGATTTTGGAGTTTTAAGTAGTGAACCTATGATGTTGTTTCCTTACTTCCACAACAGTAAGACACATCTGTGCTTCAAACTGGCCATAATGTGTGGGTCAGACTTGTCCAGATCTGTTTTACACATCAGTTTTGTTTAATTAATTTGTTTGTAAAGGTATCTGAATGAGTAAGAATGATTGGCTATTCTAAGTGTGATTTCCTCAATCTTTGAATGCAATTAAGCTTCTACATGGAAAGTTTCATTCCACCTCCTCTCAGTTCTCTTTCTGATCAGATGCATCTTAAAACATCCCAATAGTTTCCATCTGTTTTGCATCCTTTAATTTCCATTTGATCTTTCTATCGGTCGGTCCCTTTGATCACAGACCTAACATGAGGCTTAGTATGGATGTATATTGAACAGGGAGCAAAATAGCACCTAACAAAGATGGCCTTGTGTGACACTTAAAAGGTCTTAGAAGCAGTGTCCTGGTGTTTTTCACCTATTGGTTGACAAAGTTTAAATATTCCATTTGTATATGGAACTGGAAACTGCATGCAGGAAAATGAGGAAGATGATCTCTGCAGTAAGCGACAATACTTTTTGCTCTCTATTTAGTTTATGAAAATAAAGTTGTTTCTGTGGAAAAGTACTATAATTTTAGTAGATTAGAGTATGGTCAAGTGGAGGTTTTGGTTGATTCAAGTAATCTCCTTAAACCTTTTGGTTATCGGTTGTTTTAAACAAAGCAAATACTTAGAGGAATGTTGAATTAGAACATTAAAATAGAGAGCATAATTTAATATCAGTAATCCTTACATTTGATGATATACTGCAGTGAATCGACTGTAGATTTTGTGGGAGGAACGCAATGTTTGACAGTGCTATGATTTAAACAGATTTTTTCAAGAATGGTTTAATATAAATACATTTAGTAATGTGAATTCTAATCTTTAAGACTAGTTAAAATGTTTTCTGTCAGTAGACTTCTAATATTTAATTTTCTTTTTCTTTGTAGCCATCACTTAATCCCGAGTCCAAAAAAGAACTTAGCCAGAGCAAATCTATTGCAGGAGTGTGGGGTGAGTCGCTCTCTAATTATATTCTACAAAGATAACATAATCTTTGCATTTGATACAGAACCTTTCATGCCAGGAGGATATCTCTTAGCAGGATTACTGTAAAGTGTAATTTTTTTAGGTGGATGTATATTGGTATATAAAGGTTTCAGCTGTAAATGTACTAATGAATCTCAGGATTTCTACAGACAGCGTGCTATTCTGTAAGCCAGTAATTTTTACTCACTTTGTTGAACGGTGTGGTTAATGCAATATTCCATTATAAACAACTGCGTCACAAAACATGCTATAATTAACTGAACACAGAGCAACACAGTTCTGCTCAGCTAGTAGTAAGTGAGTTAATTTGCTACATAATAAATTAGCTATAATTCTTGCATTTAATATAGCACATTTAATGTTGATAGACATTTCAAAGCACTTAAAGGTATACTATAAAGTATAGTCATTGTCTATTTTGTAGATGAACGCGGCAGCCAATTTGTGCACAGCAATGTTCCACAAATAGTTATGAAGTAAAAGACCAATTTTATCAGGGATTGCTGGCTAGAACATCAGGTGAAACTGCCTGCTCTTTCTGAATAGTGAAATGGGATCCTTAAAATCGACTTGAACAGCTAGGCAGGACTTCGGTTTAGAGATGTCAGCCAAAGCCACGACTCTCCAATCAATCAATTAGTGCTAGGTGGTGCTTTCTCACACCATCAAAAAGACAAGAGGAAGGAGCGATAAACCTGCGTAGTTATTTAGGCCAAATGAAAATGAAGCCCGATGCACTAAGTATTTCAGGCATCTCAAAATAAAAATGTAAATTTTATTGTTTAAACTGTGATAAATCACTTCACTCCCTGGCACCTCCTTACCTCTCCAACCTCCTTACTCCCCAATGTACCACCCGGCGCCTCTGCTCGACTGGCACTGGCCTCCTGCTTGTCCCTCGTGCCCTCCCCTCCACCATTGAGGGTCGTGCTTTCAGCCACTATGCGCCAAAACTTTGGAACACTCTCCCACAAATCCCCCCGCCTTGCCCCTCTCTCCCCTTTTTCAATTCTCGCCTTAAAACCTTGCTTTTCGACCGTGCTTATGGACCCCCCTCCCCCACCCCCACTGGCTCAGAGTCAGGCTCCGCCATTGTTAAGCACTCTGAGACGCTGCCCTGCGTGGAGGGCGCTGTGTAAGTGCAAGCTTCTTGTAACTGTCGCTCATTCTTCATAGTTTTAATTGAGCATCTGCGAGTCGACACCCAGCGGCCGGTTGGAGACCCTGAGAATGTCCTGGACTCTTGAGTTTCTGCTCCTGAGTTTTTGCTCCCAGCTCAATAAATTCCAGATTAAGGGTGAAATAAAGTGTCTTCCACTTGCATTAAATGTTTGCAATCATAATTTGAGCACCAGTTGTCAGTAACACAGGTGATTTCCCTCGGTCTGGACAGATAAAGTTTTACTAACTTTTTTTCCAATTTTTAATGCAGAAAATCCTCCAAATCCAAAATCTAGAACATCCAAAATGCTGGTCATTAAGAAAGTACTCAAAGAAGAACCTATACTATCTGGATACCCTCTGACAGGGGCATCTCACACCCACCCCATGAAGAATGGAACAGGCAGTGTATATAAGGGATTGGTTCCCAAGCCCACTGCTCCATCAGGAAAGGTAAATTGAAGCACTACCTAAATAGGCATTAACTATCCTAGTTTAATTTGGGTTATTAGTAACTTTATTACCACATTTGTATCACGTGTTTTAAATTTCCATTTCCCTTTTAGCCTTGGGAAGTGAACGTAGAAAATTCTGAGCTAAATGCATCTCCATAACTTCTGCTAACAATATTTGCCGAATGACTGACTCATGATGTACTCTCACACTGGGAACACTCTCCCACACTTCTCCATGCACAGCAACCAAAACTTGTCTGTTAAATGTGACCTTGATCAAACTTGTGGTTCAGCTTGGGGTTCGAAGCTATAGTCTGTTAAGTGGAGTCCCCCTCTCCAATGTTGGATTACTTGAAGTGATGTTCTTTAAAATGAATAGATATTGACCTTGAATAACTGGATAAGTGTTTCCAGTACTTTCTACAAATTTAGCACAGAGCCATTTTATTTGCTAAGCTCTGGGTCGTAAGATCGACATGGATGTACAGTTCCCATGCATGTATAGATGGTATTGTCAGAGCCACTGCTTATGCACAATGCGCAGGGGTACTACGCAGGAAATGATGTCAGTACCGGAAGTTGTTAATTTTTTTTGCTCAAAACATTAAAACCGTACAATACATTGTTACAAGCCTTTTTATAACCTGCTTCATTAGAGCTCAAGTTTAGTTATAATATGATTGCAGTGCCAACCTCTTTCACTGCCTTGCATGCAGCTGGTCTGTTTGCCTTCCATGCTCTGGCAAGTGTTTGGTTAAGATAGGCTGACTTCATAACTGGGTTATTCATCGAGGATATCCCAATTTTGACACTTCGATATTGATACTTGAGGCCTAGATATTATGCTCTTAAAATACTGTGTATTTTTTCTCCTGATTTTAGTTTATAATCACCTTTTGTTAGGATTACTGATTGCAGTTCAGCAACAAACAAAATAATCTAAGTGGATTTATTTTCAATTTGACATGTTCTATGTGTTTGTCTATTTTTACTTGATGGAAGGCACTGATTTATGGAATGGTGCTATTAGTAATATTTACAAATGATCTTGAAGACTATAAAAGCAGGTTTTAGTAGATGGCACCCAGTTTGTGGGAAGAAGCAAGAGGGGAGAGAGGGGCTAAGGTGGAGGGATTGAGGGATGTTCCAGTGTTTTGAGGTGTAGTGGCTGAAAGCACGATCTCCGATGGTGGGACGGACGATACGAGGGGCGAGCAGGTGGCTGATGTCAGGTCGGAAAGGTAGGGAGGTGCCAGGGAGTGAATGGATTTGAACACAAGAGTGAGGATCTTGAAGTCGATCCGTTCGTTGATGGGGAGCCAGTGGAGCCTGGCCAGAACTGGTGAGATGTGGGTATGGAGTTTGGTCCGGGTCAGTATGCGGGCAGCAGAGTTTGGAATGAGCTGGGTCTTGTGAATGGTGGAGCTGGGGAGACCGGCGAGGAGTGCGTTGGAGTAATCCAAGCGGGAGGTGACAAATGTATACATTAGAGTTCTGTCTACATTTGGGGTAAGGTACGGTCAGAGGTGGGCAATGTGGCAGAGGTGGAAGAAGGCGGTCCTGGGACCGGATGTGGGGGAGGAAGAACAATTGGAGGTGGGAAGAGAAATCATTTGCTGTGATGAAATGGAGGTGGTTGGTTAAGTAGGACTCGAACCATTCGAGTGTGGTCCCATTAAGGTTGATGAGGGAGGAGAGCCTTTGGAGGAGGATGGCGTGGTCGATTGTGTTGAACACTGCACAGAGATCCAGGAGGACGAGGAGGCAGAGGGAGCTCTTGTCACAGATAGAGAGAATGTCGTTTGTGACTTTGACAAGCGCTGTCTCTGTGCTGTGGGCAGGGCGAAAACCAGACTGCAGGGGCTCGTTGAGGGAATTGTGTGACCGAAGTTGACCTGCAACAATGCGTTCCAGGACTTTTGACAAGGAAGGGTAGGTTAGAGATGGGACGTTAGTTTGAGAGATTAGAGGGATCGAGGGTGGTTTTTTTGAGGAGGGGTGTGACGACAGTGTTTTCAGGGGGAGTGGAACAGAGCCCGAGGAGAGAGACTGTGTTGGCCAGCAGGGGGGAGAGGAGGGGGGGGTTGAGTGACCAGCAGCTGGGTGGGGAGAGGGTCGAGGCAGCAGGTGGTGAACTTCAACTGGGTGATTGTGGTTGAGAGGGAGGAGGGAGAAATGGGGGCAAAGGAGTGTAAGGAGGGGGGAGTGGCAGAGGCTGTGGCGGAGGGAGAAGGCAGTGTGGATGGTCTGGGTGGGGTGGAAGGGGACATGGATTGGGGAAAGGCGATGCAGCCAAGCGGATGTTTTCATTTTTTGAGGCAAAGAAGTCTAGGACCTCTTCGCACTCAGTGTTTGATGTGAGAGTAGAGGGGGCTTGAGAGGGTGCGCGGAGGCGGTGATGGATGGTGGAAAACAGCGTCTTTGAATTGTTCTTTGCCTCCAGGATGACTTTGGAGTAAGTATTTAATATTTAAAAGGGAATAATAATATCTTTCTTCTTTAGCCTGCTCAATGGAAAGGTTCAGCAAAGGAAAACAAACATGGGACACCATTTGTTAGCTTCAACGCCCTTCTAAAACCGGCACCTCAGAACTTCACTTCATCACCAAACTCTTTAAAGGAGGTATAATGTTTATGTGCTATTTGGCATTTGAAGTATTTCTAAACCATACATTTCCAAAATAGAAACACCAATATTTTTGGACCAAATAACTTTCCATGTAAGTTCCATTTGACGGTTACAGTTTTATGCCGCTATTACAAAGTATGGTGTTCATTTTCAAAAGATAAGTGATTAGCCTTATTCTAGTTGTCATTTTGTTTTCATTCTTAGCTGATTCTGTGTCAGGTACTGTAATGGGTTGTGGGGGAGAACTTTCCCTTTGCCTCCATTCAGAATCATTATAAAATTCTTGTTCAATAATTGAAACATTTATTTAAGCTTTTTACAACCAAACTTTATACAAGGGGCTTTCTAAACACCATACTAAACTCTGCATGCCCATCACCCCAGTCCTTGCCAGGCTCCATTCACTCTCCGTCTCCCTAGGGATTAACTTCAACGTCCTCTATAAATTCCTTCACACCTAGCAACAACAACAACAAATTCATTTGCATAGCACCTTTCACGTCAGGAACTTCCTGAACTCTGTGTCTTTCTCCAACTCCACTGCTTTCTTTTTGCTGCCTCCACTTGGCTAACTTGGCTCTGTTGTGCTCACCATTGATGACTGAGCCTTCAGCTACTGTGCTCCTAACCTCTAGAAGTTCCTGCGTTTATTATCTCTATCTGTCTTTAATTCCCGCATAAAAACTTATCTTTTTGACCAAGCTTATAGTCACCTCCCATTCTGTGAGATTTGATTAGCTTTTAATCAACTTTAGAAATGATGTTCATAAGCATATGATTTGGTAAAACCTTTTGAAATGTCTTGAGTACAGGAACGTACCAGTTTATTGCATTTACTGACCGTTTAAACTCTTGCAATATAGCTCTTTTACAATTGTTTTTTAGAATTAAATGTTACACTCTCTTTGTATTGAGATGTCACATAAAGATCTGTACATTTGCGTGGAAGTACAACTTGATCATTTGAGTATCTAGTAAATCCTCCATGTTGCAATACAATATACAATTTAAATTTGTATCGTGCATTTCACATCTGGAGAACATTAAAAGCACCTCAAATATTGACTAATGTTACTGTTTTCTACTGACATTCACAATGTGAAGTGTTCACTACCCAGGTGCATGTTTCTGCAGTTTTGAATGACCTTCTTTCTGCTGATTTAAAAGGTTTGTGTAATCATATTTTAACACCTGATGAAAGCTTTAACCCTATCGGCTAGCGCAGTACATGTTAGGCATGCTGTCCTGTTTTTTATTCATTTTTCAATTTTTTATTTAAAATAGAGTAGTCGTTCAAATTCCTCATCGCCAATTGATATAGCAAGTCAGCCTCGTATGATGAAACTGACACGTATGCGTTCGGATAAGAAGAGCGAGTTTCTGAAGACTTTGAAACAGGACAGACCCGGTGAAGAGTATCATGATGATGGAGACCACATAGACAAAGAAAAGGTAACTATCAACCCATATACTGACAGTGGTTCAGCTTGCTTAATTTACCATATTGTTTGGATTAATGTACTTTCTGTGCCACTTTGCTACAGTTGATTGATATGTTTTCTTTCTCTGTGGGCAAGTTGCACAATGTAGATTTCAAATATATATTGGAGATGTACAATAATATTTTGTTCCATTGGAAGGAAAATATTAATCCAGGAAATATTCTGTGGTGCAGAAATTGATGTCCTGGTATGAGGGTTACAAACATCAAGCCTGGATTTCTCAGTTCCAAGTTAGAATCAAAATCTCTCAAGGAGTGAACTGGAGACGTAGCTGTTAAAAAATGCCTTGCAGATACTTTGTGATCCATCACACCATTTGAACTACATAGAATCATAGAATATTACAGCAGAGAAGGAGGCCATTCGGCCCATCGTGCTTGTGCCGGTTCTTTGGAAGAGCTACACAATCAGTCCTTCTCCCCCACTGTTTCCCCAACTCCTGCAACTATTTCCTTTTCAAGTACCTATTTAATTCCTTTTCAAAGTTGTTATCGTAGAATCATAGAATTATACAGCACAAAAGGAGGCCATTTGGCCTGTCGTGTCTGTGCCGGATCTTTAAAAAGAGTTATCCAAATCAATCCCACTTCCCTGCTCTCTCCCCATAGCCCTGCAAACTTGTCCTCCCCAAATAATTATCTACTTCTCTTCCACCACCCTTTCAGGCAATGCATTCAAGATCCGAACTAATCGCTGTGTGAAAAAAATTCTCCTCACCTCCCCTCTGTTTCTTTTAACAACTATTTTAAATCGATGTCCTCAAGTTAACAACCCACCTACTGGTGGAAATAGTTTCTCCTTGTTCACCCTATCGAATCTCCTCATAATTTTGAAAACTTATGTCTCCTCTTTACCTCCAGTTCTCCAAGGAGAATAATCCTAGCTTCTCTCGCCTCTCCTGATAACTGAAGTCCCTCATTCCTGGTACCATCCTGGTAAATCTCCTTTGCACCCTCTCCAATGCCTTGACATCCCTCATAAAGTGTGGTGCCCAGAACTGTTCACAGTACTCTAGCTGAGGCCTAACCAGTGTTTTATAAAGGTTCATTATAACTTCCCGACTTTTGTATTCTATGCCCCCATTTATAAAGCCTAGTATCCCGTATGCTTTTTAACGGCTTTATCTACCTGTCCTGCCACCTTCAAAGATCTAATTATATGAGCTCCCAGGTCTCACTGTACCTGCATCCCCTTTAAGATTATAATAATAATAGTCCTTGCATTTGATATAGCGCTTTTCACGTCGGGAGGACGTCTCAAAGCGCTTCACAGAACACACTAAAGTGAATTGACTGTATATTTGTGGGTGAACACGGCAGCCAATTGCGCACAGCAATGTCCCACAAACAGTCGTAGATTGAAAATGACCAATTTATTATTGTTTTTGGTTTTGGAGGGATTATTATTAGGTGTGTGGAGTAAGGAAACTTGCCCAAGGTTTCGCCCTGCCTGGAATTGAACTCAGGTCTCTCGCTTGCAAAGCGAGTGCTCTAACCACTGAGCTAAGATGATTGTACCATCATCTTATATTGCTTCTCTTCATTCTTCCTCCCAAAATGCATCACTTCACATTTCTCCACATAAAACTTCATCTGCCACCTGTCTGCCCATTTTACCAATCTTCAATGTCCTCTTGAAGTCTATTTCTATTCTCCTCACTGTTTACTACTTTTCCTAGCTTAGTATTATCTGCAGACTTGGAAATTGTACTCCCTATACACAAGTCCAGGTCATTTATTTAGATCGAAAACAGCAGTGGTCCCAATACTGATCCCTGGTTATTGAATTTGTTTCCACCACCCTTTCAGGCAGTGCATTCCAGACTGTAACAACTCTTTACAATGCATCTTTACAGCATGAATTTAGCTCTGAAATGGTTGCGCTGTAAACTCCATTCACTGCACAATTGTGCAGCTGGTTCATTCATTTCCTGTTTGTTAGACGATTTCACACTAAATTGGCCAACATTTAGGTTATTGGGTTGGCCGAGGGGCTCCCCTATTGTTCAGTCGCCTAATAACAACATTTACTCTGAGTGGCAATGCTTACAATAACGACAATCCTTGCATTGCATTTGACATAGCGCTTTTCACGTCTTCTCGACGTCTCAAAGCGCTTCACAGAATAGACTGTAAAGTGAATTGATCGTATATTTGTGGGCGAAACGCGGCAGCCAATTGTGCACAGCAGTGTCCCACAAACAGTCGTGGATTGAAAATGACCAATTTATTGCAGAGGAAACCTGTTTAACCAGCAGATTAAATCCCAGAGAGTTACAATTTTTACAACAAAACAGTGTATTTTTAATTATTTGTTTGTGACACACGTACAACTTTTTTGTCAAATGATTTTGGCTGCAATATTTGAATGTACCTTGGTCTGTCGTCCACAGGATTATGAAATGTTTAACCTGCAAAATGACAAGAATATTCATCAAGAGAGGGATGAGAACCGAAATTTTGATAAAAATGGTGACCTAAGGGAGAATGGAAATGCTCGAGTAGTATCCCAGCCAACCTTTCGTCAATCAGCATTCCCCCATGCCAATATTTTATCAAGTTCGCTGGAAGCTGAACATAGGTATGTTCATAAAATCATAAAGAAACACTTTGTACTGCAAATTAGCTCAATTGGTATGATACAAAACTGAAGATTTTAACAATTAAAGTATAGCTCCTATCAAATGCGTTGAGAATAAGCTAGTTTTTAAATGACATAGACTATTTTTAACAGTGTATAGTTATTTTAAAGTTAATTTCTTCTATTTCGGTAAACATCTTCTGTTTATATAAGATTTTTTATTTTCAGTTGCTTAGTTTTGTCATCCAAACTCTTGTTCTCACAATTTGACATATTAACTTAAGCTCTCAAACTCTTGAATTCTAAACCATTTAAGTCATTATTGAATGAAAGCAGCCTTGTTAAACAAATTTATATTTGTACTACAGCAAACGTTCCCTGAAATGTATAATCAAGTTGAGTATAGGACAAAAATCAGTGGTCCCACTGATCAGTGGTCCATCTAGTTCACCTTCCTCCATCCTGGCAGTTGCTTGTCATGTCGTGTCCCTTGGTGTGTATAGCATATATGACCATCATTGGCGGTCGGGCCGAAAGCCTCTCGGCCCCACCCTTTGGAACTCCATCCTCCAGTCCCTTCGTCTTGCGCCCTCCCTGGCCTCCTTCAAAGCAGTCTCAAGGAACTCCTCTTCGGCCACGCAGTTGGCCACCCTCCTACCCCTACCCTCGCTGCCCTCCTTCCCCCCCGGGTCCCAGCCTCCTGCTCGGGACCAAATCCTTGACTGGCCAGTGCCTTGTGGCTCCTCCCGACGTGGAAGACACTTTACAAATGTAATTTGTTGTTGTATTTCTTGATATTATTTTCTAGCAGAAATCTATTAATTTGTTCTTGAAACAAACAACATGTTCTGCTTCCACTAACTCCCTAGGGAGTCTGTTCCATAAGTTTACTACTTGCTCACTGAAGTAGTGTTTCTGCTGATTTGTTCTGAATTTACTGCTGTGAAATGCAAAACTAATAACAGAGTGGTATATTGCTGTTTGTACCATGTATTATGTGCTTTATTCACAGAGGAATTAACAACCAGTGAAAAAGGATTGATTAATAAATCCCATTTTTTTAAATGCATAAGGCTACTTTTAATTTACACACAGTGCATACAAAATTGCATTTACGCATGCTTGATGTTGCCAATTGAATGTTTTCTACTGCAAAATATGTCTTATTCCACTGTCTCTGGCATTAGCAGTTTATTTACTGTATAAAGAATTAAGAACAATATTTCTTTCAGTTGCAATAACTAATCATAAATTTGACCAGATAATTTAATTATGTCTTCCTAGAAGCTAAATAGTCACATTAACACAGTTTCTGAAATATAATGATGTATTTTGGGGGGCGCTCACTGATCTTACTTGAAGACATTTTACAAGAAACAGTCAAATTTGTTTTGAGCAGCTACTCAGGGGACTGGACCAGAGAGGCCTTTATATAAGGGTGTCTTCTGAGTTTGTTGGTGTGTGTAGAATTTCTAAGGGTATAGAAAAATACAGAACACATACAAACCCATAAACCAAACTAGTTTTAATAAAGTAATAAAATTAATTACAAAACACAAATCGTTGCTGTCAAAGCCGTGCTGAGCAGCCCAACGAACTGGATCTGGTGGCTGAGAACACTGATAGGGCTTAAAAACAAGTGGTTGCTGGTTGTGTTAGACGTGTGGTTGCTGAATAGAGGTAGTTTATTATGGAAAATCGGTTCGGACTCTTCCAGGTTGTTGATACCAGGTAGTTGCTGAATAGAACGGTTGCTTTAATGGATTTGACTGTGTTTTAACCAGTCATTCTTAAAGCAAAAAGAATTTCATATTTCATCAATAAGTATACTGAAGTCCTGTGGAGTCTTGTAGCTCAGTGGTTAGAGCACTCGCCTTGCAAGCGAGAGACTTGGGTTCGATTCCCGGCAGGGTGAAACCTTGGGCAAGTTTCCTTACTCCACACACCTGATAATAATCTCTCAAGAAAAAAAAGCAATAACAATTTGATCACTCAATCCATGACTGTTTGTGGGACACTGCTGTGCGCAATTGGCTGCCGCGTTTCGCTCATAAATATACAGTTAATTCACTTTACAGTATATTCTGTGAAGCACTTTGAGACGTCTAGAAGACGTGATAAGGTGCTATATCAAATGCAAGGATTATTATTATATTATACTGGTTTTGCAGTTTTCCTTATGGTTTGACTCATAAAAATAAATAATGTATTAACTCTAGAATAAAGTAAATCCTAAAAAGTTTACAACACAACATGAAAGAAAACTATTCAGCCAACATGTCACTGGAGTTATCTACGCTAGTTTGCTTTTCCTTCATTCCCTTTAACAGTTAACATCTTTCTACGAATTTTCTATTTCACCTACTTGAAATAGTGGATATGGGACCAGACTCTTCAAAAACACATAGTACTGCATTACTTATCATTTCAAAAGACCTAAGATGTTTCAGAACACTAATGGAGGATACAAGGATAGATGGAGACTGAGATAAACACATTTCCTGAGGACAATAATATCTGGGGTGTGGGGGAGGAGTGTTATCTGTTGGGGAAAAGGTAGAGCTGGGTGAGTGAAATTCATTATGGGATAGAGTTTGAATGGTTGTAGAAGGAGTGGGCGAAATCTTTTTCCTTTCTCTCCTGTATTCCTATCCTTTCTTACATTCCTAGGCAAACCTATTTAGTGTCTGGGCTTCTTGATTGCAAAAACAGGTCATCAAATGGTTTGCAGCTAAATCATTTTTCTTTCAAGTTATTCGCAAATCTGATATAGACAAGCCAGAAAGACAGCAAGAAAAAAAATGTAAACTTTGCTTTAAAGTTCAAAAGAGAGAACGAGTTCAAACTGGTTGAAAAAATTAAAAAAAACCTTTTTTTAAAAGCGTACGTAAAAAATAAGAAGAGAGGATAGAAATGAGAAAAGGGCAGGGCAGCAGAATTAAGGCGCTAAAGTGATTTAATTTTGATTCATTTTTGTAGTTTAGGTTTAATATTGCAACAGATCTATTGATGTTTTAACGGCTGTTATTAGTTGACTAAAAGTTATTAACTGAAAACCAAACTGACTAGCTGTACCTGAGACAGTCTGAGAGATAGAACTACACATACAAATTGAAATACCCCACACCTGTTTTATAAGCAGACTACAGTTTGTAAAACTCTGAAACTATCTAGTTTATTTATTCTTGTCCTGAAGACGGGTAACTCTGAAACATCGATAATAGCAGCATTGTGAACGGTAAAGACCATAAACCATTTTAGCAGATAATAATGCAATAACGTTATTATATAATAACGCCATCAATCTACTTTGATGTACTGTTTTTTGAACCGTTTAAAGCAAAGGTTTAAACTGCAACATCTGGCTTCAAAGAGATTTTTCTCATGCCTGACATTAATTTCAATTAGTTATGATCAATAAAATAAAATCTTTTAAAGTTTTTTTTTGTCTTGTTGGACATATGCCAAAAGTTGTGAGGAACTTGCTTTTCCTCTGTTGTCTAGTCGGGTTAGGGCATTGAGCTGCCATGTTCTACGAAAGTGAACTGTGATGTCCAACTGGCATACTAACTCTCATATGTGTTTTTCATGTTCTAAACGTAACCTTCACCTCTCTTTGTTTTGCTTTTCATGTTCCAGTGTTTGCAATTTTGAAGCCTGATCAAATTTCATTTTTTCCTCACACAGACATTTTTTTTCTATTTTAGTCTTTTAGTCTATTTGTCTTATACCAATGTGACCTGTAATTGTCATTAAAACTTGTTTCACCCAGTGAATTTTTTCCTTCCCTTCATCTTTTCTTTCAGATTGTATTGTTTCCTTTGCAATGCTCTTTAGGTTTTTTTTAATGGTGTGTAAAACTGGATCTGTCGAGGATAGAACCATTCAGATAGCCTAGAGTGTGTGAAAGTTGCACTCTGTTTAAGCATCACACTTTGTATTTGTTTGACAATGCTAGCAAATAAGATTAACATACAAAATGCTAGATGAAAACAGACCAAGGTCTCTCCAGTTAGCCTCCACCCTCCTGGTGATCGCACGCATATATGTCCCAAACTACCTATGTACTGTATCCCATAATGTTATTTCATAGAAGAAAACTATCTAATCTGTGTTTGAAGGAATCAACACTTCCTGCTTCAACTGTCTCCCTAGGGAGCCTGTTCCACAGGTTCACCACTCACTCACTGAAATAGTGTTTGCGTAGATTCATTCTGAATTTACCCCCCTTCATGTCCTTTGGTTCTACTATTCTGGACAAGTTGAAACAGCTTGTCATGATCTATTTTGTCTGGCCCCTTCAGAAACTTAAAGACAGCAATCATGAAACCTCTCAATGTTCTCTTTTCCAGCATGAACATGCCCAGTTTACTTAGTCATTCCTCAAAGTCCAGTCCTTCCATTCCCTCAATCATTTTGGTTGCCTTCTGTATCTTCTCGATTTCTCCAATATCCTTTTTGTACTGCGGTGACCAGTATGGTCTCACCAATGAGTTGTACAGTGGCAGAATTATCCCATTATTTCGGCTTGCTATTGATCTGTTGATACATTCCGACATCTGGTTTGCTTTACTCACTGCTTTACTCACAGAGCATTGTTGGGAGAGTTTCAATTTATTGTCAATCAGGACCCCTAGGTCCTTTTCATTTTCCATACATATTGTTTTCCTTCCGTTGAAATAATAGTCTCTTCCATGATTTTTTGTCCCCATAGGGAGTACTTTACATTTCTCCACATTGAATTTCATCTGCCACTGATCTAGTTGACTCCTAGTTCCAGATCATTTATAAAAATATTAAATAAAAGTTATGGGACTCCACTGATAACATTTTCCCAGTCTGATGACATTCCCTGTACCACCACCCTCTGGGTTCTTCCTGTCAACCAATTGCATATCCATTGTAATATACCACCACTGATACCTGCTTTTTTTTTTAACTTTCAATTCCAGCTTCTCAAGAGGAACTGTATAAAAGGCCTTACTGAAATCCAGCTAAACAACATCCACAGCCTTACCCTTATTAAGCTCCCTTGTCACACTGTCAAAGAGAACCAGTAAATTAGATTGGCAAGAACTCCCCTTAGTGAACCCATATTGGCTATCAATTATGATTTTTTAAGAATCTCAAAGATCTGACGATAGCTTCTCAGTAAATGGCAGAACTTTCGATTGGAAGTCTTTTTTTTTTAAGTGTTCAGAAGGTCATAATTAGAATGAGCCACTACACTAGCAGTGAAGAAAGTTTACATACAAACGTGCAGTATTTGCATTGTGAGCCTCCTTCCAATTATTAAAATGCAATGTAAATTAGTGTTCTGGTATTGAATATTTGTTGTGTACTTCTAGGCTGCTGAAAGAGATGGGTTGGCAGGAAGATAGTGAAAATGATGAAACCTGCGCTCCATTAACAGAGGATGAGATGAGGGAATTCCAGGCCATCAGTGAACAGGTAACATCCTGCTCCATCATAGGCTCTGATTGCCATGTTTCTCTCTGTCCCCCTTTATTGATAAAATTAGAAATTGGTCGAAGCATTCAATGACTGATGTTAATTTGGAAACTGAAGCTATTCCTATAAAGCAGAAGAGTGACATTTTGAAAAAAATTGTCTTTCAAGTTTGGTGTGTTCATTTTGAAGTAATTAGTAGCATTACATGATATATGTCGGCTTTTTTGGCTTAGGCTAATATAATTCAATCATCTTGAAAAATTAGCTAATTAGAAAAACGAAACTCAATCCCAACAGTTTAGTACAATCCCAAACTACTGAAACCTCTCTAACCAATGATGACAAATCCTCTTGAGCTTGTGAATGTGATGTGTGAAGTCGTCATTTCAGAAGAAGAGTGCAGAAACGTGGAAGGAAATTAAGACTGCGAAGAATGAAATAACATTGAAAATGAATTACTTGCCAAAAGAAATTGTTGAACTGGTCAATTCTTTTCAAAACAAAATTGGCCTTTTTTCCAGCTGCTACTTTTTTCAAGCTTAGTTGAATGGGATATTGCTTCTCTCACCCACAAGATTGTGCACTCTTGAGCCAATGAGCAGAATCTCTGTACTCGAAATTAGAGATTCTGTGAATGGTATCTATGTCAAAACGTTAGACTGACCCTCAAATAATTAAGTGGCAGCTGACATTCCTTATCCCACGAGTATTGGGATGGGGAGAAAAGGCAGGAGACGTGGGACACTACGAATGGATCTTTAGGGAGATCCAGGCCAAGTGGTCAATAGGCCAAGTGGTCATTTTGCTGTAAATTTGAATGATTCTAAGCTTGGCATCATTGCTCTTAACTGCTCATTGTAAAGCAATCTATTAAGTCCTATAGACCTGTGTGGCTATTTTCTACTAATCCTTGAATTTGATATAGCGCCTTATCACATCTTCGACACCTCTCAAAGCGCTTCACAGAATATACTGTAAAGTGAATGGACTGTATATTTTGTGGGCGAAACGTAGCAGCCAATTGTGCAAAGCAATGTCCCACAAACAGTCGTGGATTGAGTGCCCAAGTTTTTTTTAAGGCATTATTACCCCAAAAAAAGCAATCCGCCAATCAACTAACCACTGGGTTCCTACTTACTGATAGGTAAACTGAGTCGTGTGGAGTAAGGAAACTTGGCCAATGTTTCACCCTGCCGGGAATCGAACCCAGGTCCTCTTGTTTGCGAGGAGAGTGCTCTAACTACTATGCTACAGGATTCAAAATGTCATCCATCATATCCCTAAACCGGCCTTTTGCTGCAGCTAGCTAATCTTTTGCTGACTTCCTTCCATGAAGACATAATCCATCTTTAGAACATGAACATGCTTCAGGCTTTAGCTTTAGTTGAATGTTAGACTGTTGCAAAAGCCTGAAGCATGTTGAATTGATGTTCCCACATTCCAGAATCTGAAAAAGAGTAATACTTTATAACAAAACAATTACATTGAAAGCAGGATGGTGGAGTATCCTTTGCTCCCTTCCCTCGGCAATTAAAATAGCCACATTCAAACTGACTGTTGACAAATTCACTTTGCTTCTCAGCCTTGCTTGGCACATGTCCTGTAAATAGAGGGGACAAAGGAGAAAATTGAGATTCATACCATGGGAAAGGGGAAGTGAGCATTCTATTAGGCTCAGGAGATTGTCAGCACCTTGGGATGTCCTTCTGATGTGAAAGGCGCTATAAAAATGTAATCTTGTTGTTGTTGTTCATCTGTTTGTTATATTAGGGTCCCTAGGAGTTTTAACAGTTCTAAGAAGTTCATAAAATCATCTATTTGTTCACAAGCTGCATCTAAATCTTTAACTTCCTTTACTTAAACTGCAAAAACACAAGCAGTGAGTTATGATGAGCCAAATGGCCTCCACTCCTGTAAATGTCCATGGTTCTGTTTGCCATCACTGCTAATAACCCCTCATCTAAACTGAAATTCCTGGACGCTTGTAGCTTGCTATATTTTTTCTTTTCTAATCTGGAAAAGCAAATGTCCAAATCCCCGACTCTCCAGTGCCTTGGGATTTCCTCCTGATGTGAAAGGCACTTTACAATGTGTTGTTCTTGTTTTTTACTTGTTCAAGTAGTGAGCTACAAAAATAGAATTGAACGTTGAGTTATTTAAGTTGATTTAACATTGATCTTTCAATGATTTTTGCATGCGAGTGTAGTTTTAGTCGCATTTGATTTGCCTGTTCGTCCAAGCACTTCAGAAATTTGAATGGAGAGTCTTTTTTTGTGGTATCCCTTTTTTAAAAATAAAATGTACTTGTGCAGTTTCACAATATTGACTAAAAATCTGAGTTTATTTTAGTCTTCAAATTATTGCACAGGAAGCATAGCCTCAGGCTATAAATCTGTAATCCATTTTTTTTATTGGTTTGAGGAAGATTATTTTAACTGTTAAATTTCACCTAGGTCAAAGCTTTTCATAATTAAGGTTTTTTCTTTTTGGTAGATGATAATTGTTGTGACCTGTAATCTTCATCAAAGGAAAACAGTATTACAGTTTTTAAATTTAAGGCAGAAGCATTGTAATGGATATCTAAGAGTGAATCATAAAACTATATGGAAGAGTGAGATTAAGTGGTTTATAACTTTGCTCTGAATTCACTTCCCTATTCACTATTTTTTAAAAAATAATCTAACCAGTATTCCAGTATTTAACCTTCCCAAGTAGTGTTAACTTCCCTTGTGGGTGACAACTGGGAAATTTTGGATGTAAAAGAGAAATTCAAGTTGAATGATTAGAATGCATCATATGAAAATAAAATTGTAATAAAATGTACTTTTTTTTCTTTTGGCATAATACAAATGCCTAAATTGGAATTAGATTAAATAAGACATTTTTAATGAGCATTCACTCCTCTGTGTACGTGCCTAAAATTCTTGGTGTTTACATGAACTTTTTTGTTCACTAAATTTACTCTGATCTTTCAAAGTATTAGTTACCAATCTCCTTGTTTATATTGATTTTAATATCAGTGATCAGTCTGCACCATGGAAAAGTTGGTTGGAAATATTGCTACTAACATTGGTTGCTCATTTCAGTAGAGATGTTCCGATTTGTTATTTTTAAGTTTTTATTTTTATAAAATGGGGCTATTTTTTCAATATTATCAATAGTAAAAATGATATGAAGCCCAGATGGTGACCTGGTCATGTATTTGTGCTAATGCACTTACATTTTGCATCAATAGTGTGGTAGTACAGCTCCTCAGAAGTTGATGAGGAATGAGCTAAGTTCAAGTGGAACTCTTCCAATCAGTACATTGGTGAAAATTAAATACAAATGTATTGGTCACCTTGATGTTTCTGTCATTTGTGAAGCTGAAACTCAAAGTTTCCTTAATTCACACACCTCTGTTTACCTAGTAGTAAGTAGGAACCGATTGTTTGTCGATTGGCGGATTGCTTTTCCAGGGATAATAATCCCTTGTTTAAAATGTTTAAAAAAAAATGTGGTCACTCATTCCATAACTATTTGTGGGACACCACTGTGCTCAATTGGCCCCTGCATTTTGCCCACAAAATTCGCAGTCAATTCACTTTACAATATTCTATGAAGCGCTTTGAGACGTCTCAAAGACATGTTAAGGCGCAATATCAAATGCAAGGATTATTATTATATTTGCTGACTAAAAGTATTTGAGAAATCTGTTGTTGAAACTTAGTGTTCTCTGAATTCAATTGTGTTTTTTAATTCAAAATTTTTTTTAATTTCAGCTGCAGAAAAATGGTCTTCGAAAAAACGGTCTTTTGAAAAACGGCCTAAGTTACAACTTGAGGTTTAGTACATGGAAGAACACTTATAAACCCACTGTTGTTAATGATGACACTGAGACGAGCAGCAGTGATACATCTGACGATGATGATGTGTGAGAGCTTAAAGAAAGACAGAAAATTATTTCGATATAATAATTCTCAATGTGGGAAAACTGCCAAAACATAAACAGGATTGAAAGCAGTACAGTATCCCACCAGAAGAAATTTGAGAGGACTTCTTTATTCAAGAAAACAGACTGTTGAACTTGGCCTAATTTGAACTTTGCTTTTATGCTTTGTAATGGCCTTTTGTAGTAATGAGGATTTCAGTTGGATTTGGCATTGATCTGCTTCATCACTGCTGATCAGAGGAAACATTACTACAATGTGAAAAAATTTATTGATCATGGGATAATTCACAGATCTAATAAACCGAATTGAAGTTCAAATTGTGTATTGTTCCATGGAGCTTTTGACTTAAAATTGTTCCATTCACTGAGAAACAGCAATTTGAAACGTCAGTATCCTGCTTGCTGAATCATATTCATTACCAAAATAGGACTCTGCAAGTCTTCTGTCTGTGCAAAACCAGGCAATGTAGCATGTGAAAAGTGGAGGAAGGTGCACTGTTTTCATTGCCTATACTTGAGTGCTCTTTACTGTTCCACTTCTTTCTCAAAGTTAATTGCTTTTTTAACCATTTGTAGTTATTGTTTAGGAAGTTGACTTTTTTTATCATCACATTTTTCTTCTTAAATTTACAGAAAGAAAAAAAATCTGAGATCAAGAAATTTATTTCAGCTACATGCAGCCTTGATATTCAGGGTGGACTGTAAAAACAAACTATTGGAAACTGACAAAAGATTATTTTGATAAAAGTAGTTTATTTACAAGTCTTGCAAAGAGGTTATGATCACAGTTGCTGGATCTGTTCACTACATGGAATAAAAACTGGATTTGCAGCAAGTTTGATGCTGGTCTTACTTTGTGCCAGAACTATTGCTGGAGTTTATGCTAATGCAAATCTAATGCCTGCTTTATTGGGCCAATTCAGGATAGCCCCTATTACTTTGCCAAGGGAACTTGAAACCTAATACATTGTGACTGTGAAACTTAAAATGCTTCCAAGGATGTGATTCATTCCGATCGCATGTAGTTTAAAAATACATGCTGAACTGTTTTATGTGACCATTCCAATCTGACTTGTATCAGTGGTTTCTGCTTCTGTTGAAGAGTTTAAAAACATTGCTCTTAAGCCAATACAGTTGTGCCTTTAGATCAATCAAAATGGTAGCCAATTATTGGAAAACAGGTTAAATATCTCTGTTCAGTTTTGTGTGTCACACATTTATCTGGGTAATGGATCTTTCCACAGATTATAAACCTAGCTCTTCCAGCACGACTCCCAAATAATAAAGTCCATTCACGTTTGGTGAAAATTTCAGTTTAAGAAATTTTGCACAATTACTTCCACGTTTTATGATTGCCTTACAGATTTGTCCTATCGGAATAAATATTTTATTTTGTTCGTTTGGGTGTACCAGCTGTCTGAAAATTATTTTTGAGATTTAAAATCCCGTTTTCTTTATGTAAAATGGTGACTTTGTCCAGTGCAAAATCCAAACTGCATCTGGACAGTGTTGGTGGCTTTGTGTATAATTTGGAATCTAATGGAAACACTCTCTTAATGTGGATGAATTGCCAAGCACTATCTTCTGAATTTGTAGGACTTCCTGCTGTGCTCTGTATAGTTTTGCAAACTGCAACCCACGCAATTCTGTTCTGAGTAGTTCTAGTCTTTGAAGTAATTTTTTGTCTTTTATGATTCTATATTTTCATCTGACAGCATTTGAATCATTTTTTTCAGAAGCACTAAGCTTGTAAATTGCATGCCTCAGGCATTTGTGATGGCTTGCGCATTAATCCTTTTCAGTTATGTGTATTCTCGCGCCCTCTGTGAGAATACAGTGGTTCTAATTTGTGCATTTGATGTAATGGCTCATGTCATCGAAACATCTCAGTCATTCGCAGAATATACTGTAAAGTGAATTGACTGCATATTTTGTGGTTCAATTGAAAAAGTATGATAATCCTCACCTTTGGCAGAATGCTTTCCAGGTTGATGTTAAAACTGAGAATATGTGTGTTAGGGAAAACATTACTTTTATTGATGTCTTTCCTTTAGTTTCCAGTGTTTAAGCTTTGATTGCCTCAAATCATATCCCATTGAAGAGACTGTAGACTTTCTTGCTCTTCCTCCCGACGTTTAACTTCTTGTATATGGCCTCACATTTTACTTTTATTACAACACCCTTAGTCGTTGGTTACTCTAGCATTATACTTAATACTTATCCCATTTCTCCAGAAGGTATTTGCTAATCCCAAAATGCTCGTCACCCTCTAATATGTTACCAAGCTGCTATTTTAGCTAGAACTCGCCTTAGTTACTCCCGTTAAGGGGGTGGGGGTGTTAAAAGAAACACACCAACTAAGGTCATGATCGTAATCCAGGTGCTGAATTCTTGATGTTAGTGTTTATATTGGGGATATAACTCTAGCCAACAATCGTGTCCTCGCCCATCAAATGCACAAATGTGGTGTTTTCAGCAGGGATACTGTCTAACAACCAAGACCTTGTTTGGAGTCTTTATTCCCTCCCCTACCCCTTAACAGGCCAATTCTAGCACTCATTCTTCCAACCCAGCAGAGATCAGCCAACTCAGCACAACCAGAGACCTTCCAGGTGTGTATGGTTCAGTTTAAAGTCGGGACAGAAGCTTTGAATTCACAAGGGACCAAACATCCTTCTACTGTGTGGTCAATTTCTATGGTTCTGAATATCCTTATCAATTGAACCATTCGTGGGAAGGAATCTACTCTTATTACTGACACACAATATATATTGATTGTATTGGGAGTTGCAAAAAAATAAAACTAGAAAATCAGCTTCAGCTGATGTAGCAGTGACAAATAAGACTTGGGTGCTGCATCACACAATGGATTTGCAAAGAAGAGGGTTAAGATGTTTCAGGAAGAGATGACGCATCTTTGGCAGAGTTGAGAGAAAGTTATTGTCTGAGAATGAGTAAGCAAGTAATAATAAATAAGTACTTGTGTTATTTCTGGTCTGGCCCACATATTAGTACCTCACCTACACCATGTGTGATATGAATATGGCGCAAAAATATTTGAAACATCTTTTAATTTAATTTTTAAAATCAAGCCACTGCTTTCTTTTACACAGAAATATTAATAAACCTTGCATTTGATATCGCGCCTAATCATGTCTTCGAGATGTCTCAAAGCACTTCACAGCATTGTCTCACAAACAATTGTAAATTGAGTGACCAAATCATTATTTGCTGTTGTTATTTATTTTTTGAAGGGGTTATTACCCCTGAAAAAGTGATCTTCCAATTGACCTTAACAGTCGGGTTCCTACTTACTGCTGGGTACATAGAGTGGTGTGGAGTAAGGAAACTTGCCTAATGTTTCACCCTCCCCTGGAATCGAACCCAGGTCCTCGGTACTTGTTAAGAGTTTTGGTTTGTGTGGGTGCATTTGGGTAGTTATTATTCTCATTTTATGAAAATAGGTTTAAAATCTAGGACTGGATTGTAAATGTTTCACATCCATGTATTTCAGTGTTTGTAAGATTTTGTGCTGCTTATAAGGGTATTTGAGTGCAGTCACCTCGTGTTGAATCAAAAGATCGGTGAGGCCAATCTTATTATAAAATTGGCTTTTTCCACATCTCTAAACCTAAATTCTGTTAATGTAATTTGAGATGATATTTATTATTTCCATATGAAATAATTTTTAATCAAAGTTTGATAATTAAAACTAAATTAGATGTGCATTAGGATTATTCAAAATTGCATTCCCAATGAAATAGAATTTTATATTTAATTGTAGACTTACAAAATGCTGTTCTTTGCCTTACGTTGCAAAAAAAGCTAATTCACTATTTTTCATAATAATAAATTGCATCAAGCAAATCAAATCATCAAAAGTATTCTACAACTTCAAAAGATGTTGCTTTTCATGAGCAGAATATTTCGATTAATACACATTTCAGTCTGACCAAGCAAAAATAATAATTGCATCTGATTTAATAGGTGTCAACTTGGCTCAGTTGGTCCAGTCTTTCTCAGTCAGAAGGTTTTATTACATTAATTTAGAAAGATAGACAAGCATGTTGCAAAACTAATAGGTTCTCTGGTGATATCATTGTTTGATGCCAACATTACCAAATAATGTATTATAAGAGAACTATTTAAATAAGCTTTTTAAGTGTGCAAGTAGAATCTCATAATTATGATGTTAATAGTAACAGAATACATTGGAAAATTTTATTTAGTGCAGTTCCCAAGATGTTTTGCACTGTCTAAATATGCCAATACAAATTTTGTCTTATTTTTTTAAAAGCATTTTAGTGTGTTCAATTAATTTTCTAATTCTCTCCCAAGCTTCTGCACCTCATCCCTGGCTTGGGTGTGGTTCTGAGGTGCTATTTGCTTTTCAATACACACGTGTCACTTGGCTGTAGTGGGTGTTGTAGCCTAGTCTCATTTCTCTTGCACACAGAAGTACTACCTGGTCAGCCTTCACGTTAGGGTCTCGGATTGCTGGATAGTGGTAGGGTTGGAAGGGGAAGGTGACCAAAAGCACAGTTGAAGAAGTAGGTTTTAAGGTGGAATTTAAAGATAAAGAGTGAGGCAGAGGATTGAGGCAGGGACAAATAAACTCGACTGATTTTAATTTCCCTAACCCTGGGAAGGCCCAGTTAAATTTAACCTCTCCATGCAGCCCAAATAGAGACCAGTGAGCTCCCGGTCTGCAATTTACAGCACTATCCACTACTCCATCAGGGCTGCCCTTCCATCATATTTTTAAAAGAGCACATAACAGGAAAACCTGCTGATTGTGCTAAGGGCTGACTGATTTCCTCTTGTTATTTTATCTTATCCTGCTTTTGCAAACTAATTGTAAAATTCACTGTCTTTCTCATTGGAACATGAATAACTTGTTCCATTATTTTTCATCAAATCACAAAGTGGCGAGTCTGGGGGAATGGAATACAAGCTAAACTGATGGAACGGAAGCTCACAATAGATCACATAACACAGAAGATGAACCTGGCGTACCACTGGTAACTTGATAAAAGTATGCATGGCAGGAGTAAATAAAGGGCTTATAGTAATGCATTAAATAAAGTACTTATCAAAGTGCTTCAGTGGTATATTGCTGACAACTGTAGTGACTATATTTGTAGGCAAATGGAACATCCAATATTGCACTCAGGTCCTGTAAACATCCAATGAATGAATGCCAATTATTGGAGCAATATTTGGCTTGGACACTGGGAGGAACACCCTTCTCTTTTTGAAAATGTAGACACAGTCGAAGAAGTAGGTTTTTTGATTTGTTTGAAGACTGATAGAGCGGCTGTGAGGGGATGGAAAGAATTTCAGAGGATAGGCTGAAGGCTATAGCTGCTGAGGGTGGTGGTGGTGGGGAGGAGGGGAGCAAGCAACAGGTCAGAGTTTGCTGAACGGAGGGGTGACAAAATAATTAGGTAAGAGATCACAAAGGTAGAGAGATACAAGAATGTCTAGGGTTTTGAGCTGAGGATCTTGAAGTGAATCTGCTGGGAGATGGGGGAAGGGTATTTTACATGGGTAAGGATGTGGGTGGGTTTGGGATAAGTTGGAGCTGGAAGGCCAGTGAGGAAGACATTCAGAAAATCAAGTCTGGAGGTAATGAAGGTGTAAATGAAAGTTTTGGCAGAGTTCGGATCGAGTTAGCGATAGAGGAGAGTGAACAAAATGCAAAATACTCCAGATGCTGGAAATCTGAAACAAATACAGAAGTCGCTGGGAACATTCAGCAGGTCAGGCAGCATCTATGGAGAAAGGAAAGTGAGTCAACGTTTCAGTCCACGACCCTTCAACAGAACTCAGTTCTAAAGAAGGGTCGTGGACCCGAAACATTGACTCACTTTCCTTTCTCCATAGATTCTGCCTGACCTGATAGAGTAGGGTGATGCGGGTGAAGATGCAGAAAAGAGCTGAAGATCAAATCAAATTCCAGGGTTGCCTACAGGTTCATTGAGTTTAAGAGAAGCTGGGTAGGTCGAGGTAATCTAAGTTGTAAGTGAGGAAGATGGCTTCCATCTTGTGCATGTTTAGACTCTCAACTCTTCCAAGGCTTGATATCTGACAAACTCTCAGAACACCAGTGATCCTGGGATCAAGAATAAAAGTAGAGATAGATTTTGGTGCCATTTGAGTACCATTCCACACATCTGTTTACCAAGCAGTAAGTAGGAACTTGATTGTTAGTCGATTGGCAGATTGCTTTCGGGGGGTAATAATCCTTCCTGTAGCTCAGTGGTTAGAGCACTCGCTTTGCAAGCGAGAGACCGGAGTTCAATTCCCGGCAGGTCAGGGCGAAACCTTGGGCAAGTTTCTTTACTCCGCACAGAGCCTAATAATAATCCCTCCAAAAACAATAATAAATTGGTCATTTTCAATCCATGACTGTTTGTGGGACATTGCTGTGCGCAATTCGCTGCCGCGTTAGCCCACAAATATACAGTCAATTCACTTTACAGTGTGTTCTGTGAAGCGCGTTGGGACGTCCTCCCGACATGAAAAGCGCTATATCAAATGCAAGGATTATTATTATTATATGTGGAAACCTTAGTGGAATAATGCAGATTTGTGCAGAGAGTTGTGCTGATTTGGGGGGGGGGGGGGGGGGGGGACATTTATACATCACCTTTCCTTGTAGATTAAAGGGTTTCATCCTTCAAACTATTAGACAGGGTCAGTGGAAGGGGTGGTTTAATGGGCATTAAATTCCATTCTTTGTTTTCCAGCCTAAGTTTTCTGGCTATAACTGCATCTCTGTTCAGGTTGTGACCTCCTGGACTTGGCTTCAGTATCACATTGGGCGGCTCAGGCTGTGGGTCCGCCTCCCTCACTGAGTGCTGACTGCGAGCCCGAGCCCGGGAGGTGATGGGGAGGGAGGGAGCTGTGCCCAGGAGGCAGTGCCCAGCCCCAGCCAAGAGCCTGAGCCTCCTCCTCCTCTCTCTGGGACACATCACTGCAGGCGGTGAAGGTGAGATTAGCCCTAATTATACAATAACCAGGTCGGTGTCTCTGAGATGACTGAGTCACCCCGAGCTGAGGACCAGCCTCTGTGCTGAGCTCCCGCAGTGATGGACTCGCACAGCCTCCACTCAGGTCCCTCATTTCATTGCCAATGAGAGGCAAACACAGCGCCTCTTCCTGTCTGACTGCTCTCAGCTCATCATTGCTCAGCAACTACTGCATATAACTTTGGTTTGGTTTAAGTTCATGCAACATTAATTGGATCAAGTGTAATTTATTGTAGTTCCTAAATCCTGCAGGTAACTAGTGTAACTTACACTGGTTACAAAAACCTGCAGGTAAACTACAGTACAACCTACTATAGTTACCAAAACCTTGGAAGTAAACTGCAGTGTAACGTACTGTAGTAAACAAAACCTGGAGGTAAACTGATTGCATGCATTAATGTGTGCTATTAACTAACAACTTACATTTGGAATTTCTATCACATTTGCATTTTGGCCTTTTTTATATTTAAAAAAAGGTATTATGTGACCAGAACAATCAGACACTGTGTTTGGGGAAAATTATTATACAGGCAGCTAATTTATGGTCTGAATAGATTTTAGTGGACAAAGTAATTGTTTAGCCTCATAAAAATAGACTGTTTGACTTTGAAAATTGGATGCATAATAAAAAGTAATGGGCATTGCTTTTTGTCACTGTGGGTATTTGTGGGACATTACTGTTCGCAAACCGACTGCTGCATTAACAGCAAAATTACAGTACTTTACAGTACATTCTGTGAAGCGCTTTGAGACGTCTCAATGGACGTGATAAGGCGCTCTATCAAATCCAAGCATTATTATTATTACTGACATACATTGTTATCATATGTTACAATCCTTTAAGCACTCTTATAGCCAATGCGAATTTTCATGTGTAGCTGCCATACGTGGAACTCTGTCTGGTTTGGATATGTTTGGACACGGTGATGGATTTCTACACATGACAGACACCTGTTGATCAAAAAAGAAAATCAATAACTGACTGCCCGCCTCACTATACTGTATGGAGGAATACATACATGGGAACAAGTCAGAGTTGCAAATTATGATAAAAGCAGACTACTTTGTGCATCAATATGTGGTTACAGCATCCATCTTTGGCTGTACGTCTTCAATTTAAGTTCACAAACCGTTAATGGTGCCCAGATGTCTAACAATCAGCTCTTTCTGCTTAGCCACATCTGACATTTGCAACTTTTTTTAAAAAATCTGTCTCGCTCTTTATAATGTCCTTTTTAATCCAGGATTTTTTCTTACGAACAAAAGTCATGCAAATTATTTACAAGTAACATAACTTGGTTGTAATATTAAACTGAATAGCAAACACAGTATCTCTAATGTCTGCATCTCAAAATCAGATGCAGGGGAATGGGGTTACCCCCCACCTCCCCCAGGCTCAGAGTCAGGCTCCGCCACTGTTAAGTGCTCTGAGAAGCTACACTGCATGGAGGGTGCTATATAAATGCTAGTTATTGTTACAGTGCCCTTTGACACAGCACTGCCACAGTTATAGGCTAGTACAGGTATTGTATGTGCCTGCACTAACTTTGCCTAAAAAATGGCTGATTTCTGGGTCATCAGTCACTGCTCATATACTTCATTTGCATTGTGGACTTTGTTCGTATTCTTCATTTCTAGGCTCGACTACACTAACTCCCTGCTTGTCGGCCTTCCCAACTCTTCCCTCCACAATCTGCAGATTATCCTGAACTCTGCAACTCATGTCCTCTCCTGTACCAGGCTCCGTGACCCTTATCACCCCATACTTGCCTGGTTTCACTGGCTCCCCACCCCCCAGAGGATAGAGTTCAAAATCTTCGTCCTCATCTTCAAAGCCCTCCACAGCCTTCCTCCCCACTTACCCCTGTACCCCATTTGGCCCACCCCACCATAGGCTGTCGAGCCTTCAGCCTCTCTGCCCCCACTGTTTGGAACTCCATCCCGCAGTCCCTTCACCTTGCCCCCTCCCTTGCCTCCTTCAAGGCCCATCTCAAGACCTTCCTCATCGACCGTGCCTTTGACTACCCTCCTTTCTCCCCCTTGCCCTCCACCCCTCACCAATCCCAACCCCCAGCTCAGGTCCAAGCTGATTGTCTAGCCCCTTGGGACCTCCTCCCGATGTGAAAGGCGCTATACAAATGTAATTTGTTGTTGTTAATGTTTGTGTAATAAGTGTCAATGATGATGTCGCTTCCTGAACACTATGCATACAAACTTTGTGAAGGAAATGATATCACTGATGTTTCTCGCACCATTAGCAGGAAGTTACATCAGCAGAGCTTGTTGTGAAAGCATCCAGTGAGCAGGAGGTGACATCAACGGTAACCTTACAATCTGGAAGTTGGCTATTTTTTGTGCCTCACTTATAATTCAACTGCTGAGAAATTGGACACAGATGACTGTTACAAAGGAATTTCCCTGTAGTAAACTACTTCTTTCATTTGTAGCAGTAAATATTGTCAACTATTAGTGGCTTCTGAGGATCTGTATCTTACATTTGTGTAGAGTATGAAAGGCATACAAAACATGGTGCCAAATGTCCATGCAGATCTTGAGGGTGGATCTACATAAAGAGATTTCTGATTTAAACTTCATGTTCTTCTAAACATAGTCACAATTTACTCAACTGGTCACTTGCAATGAAGATTGGTTTCAAAGTTGATTGAACCTCTTTAATTCTTTCAAACCTCTTCTCCCCATCCCTACAATTTGCAGAAGTTATAAACTCAAGTTTGGAGTAATCTCACCATTGTTTCCTGATTCCCTAGAATTTCCAAGTGTAGGAAATGGATGCCTGGAGCTCTGTTTGTTTTGGATACTCATAAGCAAGTGGTGGGTTTCTGCATAATGTCATAATGTCAGGTTGAGCAAAAAAAAAATCTGACTCCGAGCTAGAGAGTTACCAACTGTGACAGTCAGGCTGTCACAGACTGACTGAAGTTAAGTGAAGAGAAGATTCAGAGAACATGGACAACAACTATAGAATTATACAGCACAGAAGGAGGCCATTCTGCCCATCCCGCCTGTGCCGGCTCTTTGAAAGGAAATATCCAAATCAATCCCACTCCCCTGCTCTCTCCCCATAGCCGTGCAAGCTTGTCCTCCCCGAACAATTATCTATCTACCATCGGCACAAAATTCCACTGGCAGTGAATTGTTGCTTTAGCTGTTTTATGCCACTGGGAAGGCATTGAAGCAGCTTCTGTGTTTGTATCTCGCTCTTTGGGCCGCCACATTTCATCCACTGGGTGGCGCTGTGCAGTAAACTGCGGTGTGAATCCGGGTCGGCGCAGCGCCACCAAGTGGATGAAATCGGGACCGCGACCACAGGCGATTGGTTTCAGGAATGTAACTGCTCCACCTGGTGGTGAAAAGTGGGTATTAAAAAAAAGTGAGGACATGTGCTGAGCAAAGCAGCACCAGAATACTGAAGAGAAAATTAGCACAAAGAACACATTTGCAAATACAAACAATAACTCTGATCTTAGTTCTGTAAAATCAGTACATTCCTAATTGTACATTCATAATCCCTCCGGTTGGCTTCCCCCTCTTTACCTCTCTACAAATCGCAAGTGAAGACTTTCCTCTTCACCTCACTTCCTCCTTGAATCAGCATCAAACTCCGCCATTATTCAGCGTTCCGAGATGCTGCTCCACATGAAAGGTGCTTTGGAAATTCGAATTGCTGTCGTGAAAAAATATCACTTCAAATGTGTGCAATTGCATCATTTGTAGACTGTAAATGCTCCATTTAAGTCGCTGTGAATCAGTAAAGAAATCCAGATTGACCTAGAGACAGGCGTTTTGCTCACAAAAGTTTCGCCGACCAAAAAATATACATTCAATTCACTTTACAGTATATTCTGTGAAGTGCTTTGAGACGTTTTACAGACGTGATAAGGCGCTATATCAAATGTAAGGATTGTTATTATTATATCAAATGCAATAGAGATGGTGGAGAAACGTGGGAATTTGAGTTTTGTGCAAGTTTGTCTTGATCAGAAGTGATTAACTAAGTCAGCAGTTAGTTAAAGTATTAGTGATTTTTTACAAAAGTTCTATTATCTTTATTGGCTGTTATAGAATCTGGGATTGCTGTTGACCTGTGTGATTAACTTGAACTCTCTTTATTCTAGATGTTGTGGGAGCTCACGTTGATATGGAGGTGAAGGTGAAAAACTCGACCACCCTTTACGTTGAGTGGGATTCACATCTTTGGTCCATATCTGAATGCGTTCTTTTTGTCTTTGTGAAAGGAAGTAAAGAAGATGAAATTATTTTACTGCCCAGGTAAAACACAGAAACGCTTCTGTACCCCATTATCTCTCTTTACTTGAGTTAGAATTAAGAAATACCCTTAAAACTGTCAGATTGCAGAAATCAACAACAACAACTTGCATTTATATAGCGTCCTCCACGCTGGGCGGCATCCCAGAGCGCTTTGGAATGGGACGCTTAGGTCCCAGAGCAAATCGGAGGAATGCCACATGTCATTTGAGTGTCATTTGAGATAATATTTGACTAGACTGGATTATTGTACTAGGATAAGATAATGAAGTGCAGTTTTATAATGCGTTGTGTTTTTATTACAGTAATACTCTGCTCTGTTTAGAATTTTTTTTATTTCCTAGACATGGATTGAACGAATAAAGAGTTATCTTTACATTTAAGTATGTTTAGAAAAAGATCCTCCCTTTTTTAAACACCACACATACTGAGCCATCCTTGATTATTTGGCCTTAGAGTAACCCTATTTACAAGGCATTTGCCCAGATAAAACACGTGCACCCGAGCAATGGGGGAGGATGCAATTAGTCATAGGATCATTGTAATCTCTGGTCTTTGGGAGAGGGTGTAGAGATCGGGATGTCCTGTTTGCAATAGGATTGGTTCATTGGTTGCCCTGATTTATTGTCACTAACATGTTAATGTTATTGTAATATTCATCAATTTCTTGTTCCTCTTCTACTCTGAGGTTATCTGAGGTCAGCTCTAATGACAGAGTGTGAGAGGAACAAGAAATTGATGAATATTTCAATAGGATTAACAACAAGGCTGTTATCTTAGACAAAATAAACCAATAAGGTCCAATATCCATAACTAGAAAAGACACCATTCGTGGAACAACATAACTGCATTGTAGACCGAAGCTGACCAGATTCTGGTCTGGTGTGTTCAGTTGGTGTGTTTCCAGCAGACTGCTTTCTGAAGAGAGTTGCATAGAACTGAACTCGTTAATCAATTGGTCATTCACCTCAGGTCTGTGGGACTGTGCTATGTTCAACTGTCAAGAATTTTGAGAAGTTTCGATGAGGTACGGCAATATAAAGGAGAAAAGGTGATCTTCAGGGGGACATGATCTAGGCCTTGTATGACCCCAGATATTGCAGATTTATTTATATAGGTTATGTCACTTGAGCTATGAGTGCAGAATGGGGGGAATGTGGATGTAAAATGAACAAGCGCCAAGCGAGATGGAGTCAGAAGAAACCCACCTGAATTTTCAGACAGGACAGGACCTCACTTTAATATCTCATCTGAAGGACGGCACTTACGACAAGAGCTGCCATCAGTGCCACACTGACACCGTAACATTTTACCCATGGTTAATTCACTTCATTAGATAAATAAATAGATACAGTTTATGATGGGGATAATTTTCCATGATCAATCAAAATAACATATTTTTGAATCCCTTTTTTAATTTGTTCCGACATGTTTATTTTGTTGCAAAGTTTACCCTAATATCCTTTTTAAGACTGGCTTCAACTAGTTTTGTAATATATGTCTCACCATATATTACAAAATATCACCTCCAGCGCTCAAACAATAATGAAATAAAATCCATTTTTACAGGGTACGTAAATTGGCATTTTCATTTTCCAGCAGAATATTAATGGGATTGCTCCAGGGATTTCCATGCTGTTTGCGTTCTTGAATTTTTCAACAGTGAAATGATTTTTCAGATGCCATGAACTGATTTGTGTAATCTCACACAATCTGCCAAACAAAATTGGTCATACACTTCATGCCTGTTTGTGTGACATTGTTGTATGTAAATTAATTGCCTCGTTCGCCCATAAAATGCAGTCACTACACTTTGCAGTATATTCAGTGAAGTGCTTTGAGACATCTTCACGCTGTGAAAGGCGATCTGTTAAATGTAAGGATTATTGTTACATTTTTAAAACTTTCTATTGAAGATAGTTCCAGCTCCTACAGTAGAGTTTTCCATGCGAATTACAACCTGGTGAGTTGGTTATGCTCTCTCCTGAGTCAAAAGGTTATGGGTTCAATCCCCTTGTCGGGACTTTGAGCCCATAGTTTAGGCTGACACTCCAATACTGTGTGTGCTGCATTGTCGGAGGTGCTATCCTTTGGTTAAGATATTAAATTGAGATCCCACCTGCCTGTTCGGGTGGTCATTAAAGACACTATAGCATTATTCGATGATAGAAGGGAGTTTCTTCCAGTGTCCTGGCCAACAATTCCCCAAATAAAATTGATCATTCACTTTGCAAACATCAGTGTCCCACAAACAGCCATGAAGTGAGTGACCAATTTGAATCTGGGAGGTTGTTGGATGGGATATTAAAACTCTTTTTTTCAATTCAGTTACTTTGCCCTGGAGGGGGGTCATAGAGAATGTAAGAATCAAACATACCAAATAAAGGTCAGGGACAAGAAAGTTAAACACTGCTGACATTTCTCTACGGTCCTCAAAGATAAACTAGCTTAATTATTAATATCAATCAAAAATTACAACCCACATTGTTCAATCCTGACAGGCTGCATTGTACAGTCCCATCATACTATCAACACAGAAGCTTGATCTTGGCAAAGCCACGAAGTTTGATATCAGGCCCTCAGGTACATGAGGTTCTGTCTGAGGAACCTAATTTTCCTGGTTATTCAATCAAGACATCTGCCTGTCAAATAGTGTCTGAGCCAAGTAGCAAGAGAGAACTGGAGTAAAATAGACTGGGAAAGCACAGCAGGATTAAAGAGTCGCATCTACACTTTTAGCAGCTTAACTTCAAAAGGACATGAAGGGAGGGTTCAGAGGAGAACAACAAGATGGCTTCTGGTACTTACAGAGCTGCTTATAAGCTTATGCTGACATAACTGGAACACGATTGAGATGGACATGATCTAAGCCCTCAATATGCAAATAGGGTGTAATTAACGCACATATAAATTGGGTATTTGATTTGAAACTGTGGTCACACGACTGAAGGATCAGGGTTGATCAATTAATAAGGCTGCCAATTAGAAGAAGTGTTAGAAGGCATGGTCCAAAGAGAAGAGGTAGGTTCATGTGAGAGTTAGAGTGGATACAGTACAATACAAAATTACATTTGTATAGCGCCTTTCATGGCAGGAGGACGTTCCCAAAGCCTGGACAGTCAGGGATTTGGACCCAAGCTGGGGGGTAAGAGGGTGACCAAAGGCTTGGTCAAAGAGGAGGTTTTGACACGTGCCTTGAAAGAGGCAAGGAAGGGAGTGAGGCGAAGGGAATGTGGGATGGAGTTCAGCAGAAAGGCTGAAGGCCCGACTGCTGATGGTGGAGCACGCCGGGGCCATGGAGCAGACCAGAGCCTGCTTAGCAGAGGGAGCGGACAGATTGATATAGGGTTAGCAGATCACAGAGGTAGAGAAGGGGCAAGGTCATGGAGGGCCTTGAAGGCGAGGAGATGGAGGGGTGCAGAGAGGCAGTTGTAGAGGTAGGGGTTATAGTTGCTGAAGGCTCAGCCACCAATGGTGGGATGGGGTGCATAGCAAACCCAAGTTTGCTGAGTGGAGGGGATGAGCAAAAGAGTGAATTAGGACAGGATCACAGAGCTAGGGTGTGAAGGGATGTAGAGGTGAGACAAGGTCCTTGAAATCAATCTTTTGAAAGATAGGGAACCAGTGGAGCCTGATAGGCAAGCGGAGTTTGGCACAGATTAGGAGGTAGGCGGTGGAGGTTTAAATGTAACAATATAGTTTATGTGGCCAGCTGGCTTTTTTTCCCTCCTCTTTCATCATTTCACCGTTTTGCCCACAAAATAAATTGGTCATGTTCAATCCACGACTGTTTGTGGGACACTGCTGTGTGCAATTGACTGCCGCGTTTCGCCCACAAATATACAGTCAATCCACTTTACAGTATATTCTGTGAAATGCTTTGAGATGTCTCAATGACGTGATAAGGTGCTGAGTCAAATGCAAGGACTATTATTATTATTTCAGAAAAACTATATGTTGAACCCATTGTTACTGGGTTGCAGCTTGCCTCTTTGCAGAGTTTAAGCATGAATGTCTGCACTATTAAACCCACCTCAGTGTATTTTGCATCTAATCCTTGCTGTTGTTCTTTGAATTTCAACACAATTTTCAACAATATTTCAGAAATGGAAGCCTGGAGCTGTTGGACCGGAAGCCTGGGACACTTTACTCCATCAGCCTGACCTGTTTTAACAGTGAAACATTCCTCAAGTCTTCAAATGTCAGCATTCAGACAGGTATGGAAGCATCACTTTACTATTAAATAGCTTTCAACTCAATGAGCATTTGGACAGAAGGAATCTATGTTGCACTGTTGTTGTCCAAGGGGTCTATATTGCATTGCATGGAAACCGCATGGAAACCATGATCACAAAGGATATTACAGATCTGCTCCCAATTGCATAATTTCAACCAGTGAAAGATTTATTAGTTATGGAATTGACCAATTCATTGGTTGTTGATTATAATAATAAATAATCCTTGCATTTTATATAGCACTTTTCTCTCTGTATACTGTAAAGTGAATTGACTATGTTTTGTAGGTGAAACTCAGCAGCCAATTGCCACAGCAGTCATGGATTGAGTGACTAAATTATTATTGTGTTTTGTTTCTTGAGTGTTTATTATCAGGCGTGTGGAGTAAGGAAACTTACCCAAGGTTTCACTCTGCCAGGATTCGAACCCAGGTCTCTCGCTTGCGCAGCGAGTGCTCTAACCACTGAACTACAGACTCCACCTCTGATTATAAAGGCACCTGTATTGGTTTACACCTGGTGGATGATAGAGCACATGTTGGCATGCTTCTATTACCACTTGTTTGAGGTTCTACAGTTGGCTTTAGTGCTCTTCGCCCCTGGACGAGGAAGGGGGGAAAGTCGTCCATTCTCTGAGTTACTTCATTTTGTGCCGAGGAACAAATGTAATCTCCATTTTTCCATTTTCCACTCATTTACCTCTGCAGTGAACAGAATATGTGGTTTGTCTGCACAAGCGGCATTAGGCACATGCAAACCACTCAATTGCACCGTGTCCTGAGATAGCGGGGGGGGGGGCGGGGGCTTGGTGTGATGGACAGGTGGACTCCGAGCCCAGCCTCCAGCCAATAGCCACAGCACCAGGGCAGGACATCCACCCACTAACACTGGTAGGGGCCACGGAATCGAGTTTTGCAAGAAGCAACCGCTGCTCCAGTTTGTCTGTTCAGGTGGATTGTAAAGGGAAGGGAGTTCTTCCCGGTATCTAAGCTGACAATCTACCAGATATATATATAAAAAATTGGTCATTCACCTTCATGGCTATGGGGTGGGGGGGGGGGGGCACGGCTGTGTGGGGTGGGCACGGCTGTGTGGGGTGGGCACGGCTGTGTGGGGTGGGCACGGCTGTGTGGGGTGGGCACGGCTGTGTGGGGTGGGCACGGCTGTGTGGGGTGGGCACGGCTGTGTGGGGTGGGCACGGCTGTGTGGGGTGGGCACGGCTGTGTGGGGTGGGCACGGCTGTGTGGGGTGGGCACGGCTGTGTGGGGGGGGCACGGCTGTGTGGGGGGAGGCCAGCTGTGTTTGGGGGGGGCACGGCTGTGGAGGGGCGGGACACGGCTGTGGTTCAAATTAGCTGCTGAGATTGCTAGGAGAAACAGAGTCATACACTTTATAGTAAAGCCCTGTGAAGCGCTTGGACAATTTTCAATGATGTGATGAGGCGCTATATGAAATACAACGATTATTGTTATTTATATGTTTTTTGTCTTCCAGATGTTTGGCCAAGTTCTCTGCCTTCAACTGTACAAAAAACATCAGAAGCAAAGAGCGGTTCCAGTGAAGATCGCCATTTGAACAATGCCAAGTTACTCAGCTCGTATGTACACGTTGCCATTTTAATATAGTTTAACAGGAGATAGTTTATACCTGTGTGGGATGGACTGCAAAAGGCACATGCGTCAGATTATTTTATTGAGTCTAATTAAATAATTATGAAAATTCATCTCTCCACAAAGGTCTTTCAAATTGCAGATCATCTTATGATGTTCTACTGCTGTGTCAGTGTGGCTCAGTTGGTAGTGCTCTCATCTTTGACTCGGAAAGTTGTGGGTTCAAGCTCAACATTGGGACTTTGAACTTGTATAGTCGAGGCTGACACTCCAATGATTATTGGAGGGTTTGCTGCATTGTGGGAGGTACAATATTGTCCTGTGGATTAAACTGAGGTCCAGTCTGCCTGTTCAGATAGCTGTTGAAGATCACACGCAACTACAGTAAACCCCCGGTTTACCAAAACTGAAATTGTAAAAAAAAAACACAAATCCACGAGTCCACACGTGTGTAAACTCCCGCCAGCCACTCTCCTCATACCCCCTCCCACTTCACCATCTTTACTGGCCTTCAGTGGCCAGGTGTACCCACTTTGACTCAGGTTGAATCCTGAAAGCACAAGATAGCTTATTCACTATCTTCTGCTTATGGAATTCAAATAATTATAATGACGGTATTGGCATTTTTTGCACTGAAGAAGGTTGGCATTGTAATTATGCTGAGCCAGACCTGACCACCCCATACGTGGCCACCCAATTAGTCTGGTTAACGAAACGGAAGTTTCTCCCTGTGTCACAGCCAACATATAAATTGGTCAATGGTTGTTTGTGGGACATTGCTTTGCTCAAATTGGCTGTCGCATTCATCTATAAAATATGCAGTCACTGCACTTTTCAGCATATCCTGTGAAGTGATTTGAGATGTGAAATACATCTTATAATTACATTGCACCATGGCATAAGCACAATATTTATGCCTTCCATTTAAAGTGCAGAAAAACATCCAGTTATTCAAAAGACTAATTACCGATGTTTTCTTTATCATTTAAAGGCTTAGTTCCTTCGAATTTACCATGGCGACAGCTTCCTTCTCCTGGGTTAACCATTAAGTTTTGTTAAATCTTGTACATTTTGGTTATTGTGTACAAAATGTTGTCATTACAGTGTCTGGTGCAGGATGTTTATGTAATCTGAGTGACAAATGTACAGACTGGACTTGGGAAAAATGTAACCAATCCTTTTCTGAAGCAGAATAAGTTGATGAATTAGATTGAACTGGCATCTCACTCCCTGGTGGGCTCTTGTGTAATGACATCACTTAGTGCAGCACTGAGCCATACAGACTACAATAACAACTTGCACTTAAAACAAAACAATAATAAATTGGTCATGTTCAATCCACGACTGTTTGTGGGACACTGCTGTGTGCAATTGACTGCCGCGTTTCGCCCACAAATATACAGTCAATTCATTTTACAGTATATTCTGTGAAGTGCTTTGAGACGTCTAGAAGACGTGAAAAGCGCTATATCAAATGCAAGGATTATTATTATAGTACCTTTCACAAAGGGTAATGTCTCAGAGCGCTTCACAAAAACAGCGTCAGATGCCGAGCCAGGGAAGAGGGGGTGGAGCATGGGGAAAGTGTAAGCATGGGTTAAGTGGTAGGTTTTTAAGGTGGGATTTAAAGACTGATAAAGTCTTTTTAGAGGGCTAGAGGGAGGGAGTTCCCAACTGCAAAGTCACAGGTTCAGGTCTGTGCAGTGCCTGTTGATCTCAGCTGGAGGCCCAATGGTAAAAGAGCGGGGACGGGGTTTCCCTGGGGTTCAGATGACTCCGAGAAGATTTATAATCCAGGACAGATTAGGAAATATAGTCTTGTCTTCAATTCCCTAAACTAAAGCCTTTATTAGGATAGTAATGATCTGCTGGTTATCAATACCGGCGATTTGTTCTCTAGTTTGAATGACATTATGTTATTACCCTGTGTATATTTTATGGATGAAGTACTTCATAGTCAGAATGTAGCGTGTGGAAGGGACATGATATTGGCGGAATACTGACCTAAGAGCATTTTGCAACAACCCAATCAGTGTTGTAAACAGGTTTACAGCTTCATAAGCCTTGATTTTGTTTTAACCGCAGTGTCACTTGCAGGCTCCAAACACTGGGACAGCCAGTCTGTCTGCTCAGTCTCCACTTATAATAATAATAATAATCCTTGCATTTGATATAGCGCCTTATCACGTCTTCGAGATCTCTCAAAACGCTTCACAGAATATACTGTAAAGCGAATTGACTGCATATTTGTGGGCGAAACACGGCAGCCAATTGCGCACAGTAGGGTCCCACAAACAATCGTGGATTGAGTGTCCAATTTTTTTAAGGATTATTACACTCAGCAAAGCTATCCGTCAATCGACTAACAACCGGGTTTCTACTAACTGCTGGGTAAACAGGTGTGTGGAGTAAGGATACTTGCCCAACGTTTCACCCTGCTGGGAATCAAATGCAGGTCTCTCGCTTGCGAGCGCTCTAACCACTGAACTACAGGACTCCACTTCAAAATGTGTTTTCAGTGTTAGAGAGAGGTAGGTAAAACTGCCTCTCAAGTGTGCATTTGAGACAAATCTGATGGACATTAGATATCGGGGTTAGGTGCATAGTAATGGTGGTTGGGGGGTGGGGGGGGTGAGGGCAGGGGTGGGGGTTGAGGTGTGGAGATCTCACATCATTGGCTTCCCATCACACAGAAGATACAGTTCCTCACCTTCAAAGCCTGCCATGCTCTTGCTCCCCCCTACCTCTGAGACCTCCTTATCCCCTACCATCCTGCTCGCCTTCCACCTCTCTGTACCCACCCTCTGGAACTCTATCCCGCAGTCCCTCCGTCTCGCCCCCCTCCCTCGCCACTTTCAAGACCCACCCTCCTCTTCGACCGTGCTTTCGATCTCCCTGCTTCCCTTCCGCCCTACCCCCTCCCCGACTTTCAGCTTAGGTCCGTAACTCTGTCTGTCCAGCGCCTTGGGACGTCCTCCCGACATGAAAGGCGCTTTACAAATGTCATTTTGTTGTTGTTGGGGAAGATGACTGCTACTGTTTGCTCTGCTGGAGTCAGAGCTGGATTTATTTTGAAGCCACTGACTGAATAATAATAATAATAGTCCTTGCATTTGATATAGCGGTTTAGCAGGTGGTTGAGGCATTTCAAAACACTTCAAAGTTTATACCGTAAAGTGATTGTCTGTGTATTTTTGTGGTTGAAACAGACTTTATTCTGTCTGAGATGTGCAGCTCCACAGGAGCACAAGCCACACTGTAGGTTTTCAACCCCAGCCGGAAAATAATCTACCCCTTCCACTTGCTTTGCTCTGATAAACCCACTGTTATAAACTTACCCATTGGGGACAACTCCACACGTGAGTTTTTTATAGGTGCTAACAATAATAATAATAGTTCTTACATTGATATAGTGCCTTTCACGATGGGAGGACGACTCAAGGCACTTCCACAGAATGTATATATATTTAAAGTGTAGTAACTGTGTATTTTGTGGGCAAAGATGGTGACTCCTGCAATCATTGGGTTATCAGCTAATTGAAATGCAAAGACCTGGGAGAGTAGTTTCCATGCAAAAAAACAAATTCACAGTCACTACACTTGACAGTAAACCTTGTGAAGTGCTTTGAGACCTTGCATCGATGTGATAAGGCTTTATATCAAATATAAGGATTATTTTCATTATTATTAATTTTAATATTTTTTAAACATCTCCTTTCGCTTCCTTAGTATTATTTATACATGGCTGGTATGGTAGCTTTGAGGAAATGCCCTCAATTGTATGGAATATTCTCAGGCTCACAGAGACTTGTGAAGTCTCTGCTCCTAGCTTTCCAGGTTACTTAAAAATAATAATAATAATAACCCTTGCATTTGATATAGCGCCTTATCACTTCTTCGATACGTCTCAAAGCGCTTCACAGAATATATTGTAAAGTGTAGTGACTGTATATGTTGTGGGTGAAACACGGCAGCCAATTGCACACAGCAGTGTTCCATAAACAGTTGTGGATTGAGTGACCAAATTGTTGTTATTTTTTGGAGAGGGATTATTACCCCGTAAAAGCGATCTGCCTATCAAGTAACAACCGGGTTCCTACTTACTGCTAGATAAACAGAGGCGTGCGTGTCGAGTAAGGAAGCTTGCTTAACGTTTCGTCCTGCTGGGAATCGAACCCGGGTCCTCTTGCTTGCGAGGCGAGTGCTCTAACCGCTGAGTTACAGGGCTCCATAACGCTAGGGATTCTTCCACCCACCACTTGGGGGAGTTCTCGCTCCTGACAGGATATTACTGCACACTCAGACCGTTATGGAAGTTGATGTTTTTTAAACCACATATATTTTCTATGTCTTCATTTATGTGCTCTATCACCTCTCTTTATTTCAGCTTTAGATATAGAAGCATTGGGGAGTGATGAGCTTTGGGTTTAGAGTGCAGCTGGTTCCCTAACCGCATAATTTCTCCATGTAATGTTTTCAGTTTCGGACTTAATGGCAAAGTGTCCCCTCTCCTCGCCTCTCTCCGCCATTCGCTCTTTCCCCACTGTCTTCTTCTCGCACTCTCTCTTTCCTGCACCCACTGCAGATCTCTGGGCCTTGGGACATCCTCTTGACGTGAAAGATGCTATGCAAATGTAATTTGTTGTTGTTGTCGTCGTCTTCTCTCCTCTCTCTCCCTTTCATAATAATAGAGACATCTCAAAGCGCTTCACGTGACATAGTGCACAGTAAAGTGGTGTGACTGCATTTGTGGGTGAATGCAGTCGTCAATTTTGTGTGCAGCAATGTCCCACAAACAGCCATGGAGTGAGTGACTAATATTGTTTGGGGGGATTGTTGGCCAGGGAACCGGCAGAAACTAACTCCCTGCTCTTTTCGAATAGTGCCGCGGGATGTTTAATGCCCACCTGAACAGCCAGACGGGACCTCAGTTTTAACGTCTCATCTGAAGGAAGGCACCTCCAGCACTGCATTGGAGTGTCAACTT